TGGACAGACATAGAGTGATAAATATTTGGACAGAATCTAGGATTCGATCAAGCTGACACACAAGGTAATCAAATTATTTTACAGACATCAACAGGGGTATCAACAGGTGTTGACAGGAATCAGGAGTTGGATTCAAAGGGGTTTGGACAAACATTCTAGGGTGATCAAGTTGTTGACTGGACATAGGGTAATCTCAAGTTTGGACAAACATCTTAGGGTTGGATCAAAGTATAAAAAAAAGGTGTTGGGGGAACCAGACATGGTAATCAATGTTTTGTAAAACATCAGGAGTGATTGCAAAAGTTTGTTGAACGAATAGGGTACATAATGATTATTGACAGACATCAACAGAGGTGATCAATAATATGTGACGATCAGAATGTAACTGTCAAACACTTTAATCATCGTTTTGTGACAAGACATCTACAGGTTGATTCAAAATGTTGACAGACATTAGGGTAATCAATGTTGGACAGGACACCTACAGGGTGATCAAAGTGTTGACAGACATAGGGTAATCAATATTTTGACAGACATCAACAGGGTGATCAAAGTGACGACAGACATAGTAATGTCAACACTTTAATCAATGTTTGGACAGACATCTACAGGGTGATCAAAGTGTTGACAGACATAGGGTAATCAATGTTTGGACAGACATCTAGGGTGATCAAAGTGTTGACAGACATAGGGTAATCAATATTTGGACAGACATCTAGGGTGATCAAAGTGTTGACAGACATAGGGTAATCAATATTTGGACAGACATCTAGGGTGATCAAAGTGTTGACAGACATAGGGTAATCAATATTTGGACAGACATCTAGGGTGATCAAAGTGTTGACAGACATAGGGTAATCAATATTTGGACAGACATCTAGGGTGATCAAAGTGTTGACAGACATAGGGTGATCAATATTTGGACAGACATCAACAGGGTGATCAAAGTGACAACAGACATAAGGTAATCAATATTTGGACAGACATCTACAGGGTGATCAAAATTGTTGACAGACAGGGTGATCAATATTTTGGACAGACATCTAGACACTCACACGAGTGTTGACAGACATTGGTGAATGCATATAATTTGGACAGACTATCTTGCTGATCAAGTGTTGACAGAGCATAAAGGCACATCATGTTCTGGACAGACACTGAAGGGTTATCAAAGTGGGTGTATAGACATAGGTGATTAATATTTGGACCGAGACATCTAGGATGATCAAAGTGTTGACACACAAAGAGTAATCAATATTTTGACAGACATCAACAGGGTGATCAAAGTGTTAACAGACATAAGGTAATCAATGTTTGGACAGACATCTAGGGTGATCAAAGTGTTGAAGAGACATAGGGTACCATCAATGCTTCTGGACAGACATCTATGGGTTGATCATATGATCATAGGGTAATCAATATTTGGACAGACATATATGGTGATATAAAGTGTTGACAGAGCATAGAGGTAATCTAAGCATATTTTTGGAATCAGACATGCATACAGGGTGATCATAGATGGTACGGATGCAGAACTATATGGGGTGATCAGATATTTGTTATCAGACCACTAATGCTAGTGTGAATCAAAGTGTTGGACAAGACTATAGGGTATATTCATATTTGGTATCAAGTACATCTAGGTTGTATCAATAGTGTATGACAAGAACTAGTTAAGGCTTTAATCAATGTTTGGACTAGTACTGATGGCTAACAGGGTGATTTAAATGTATGAACAGACTTATTAGGTATCATGTATTTGACAGGACATCTAGGGTGATAAAAGTGTTGTACGAGACATAGGGTTATGCAAATATTTGGACAGACAGTCTTAGGCTGATCAAAGTAATGATCATAGGTAATGCACATTTGGACAGACATCTTGGAGTCAAATAGTGTTGATCAGACATGACGATATCAATATTTGGAACAGCACTTTTAAGGGTGATCAAAGTGTTGACCAGAGCATAGTGTATATCAATATTTGGAACATTGATCTACCAGGGTGATTAAACGTGTTGACAGACATACAGGTTATGCATATTTTGGACAGACTATAGTATGATCAAAGTGTTGAACTGAGTACTAGGTAATCAATATTTGGGACATGACATCTAGGGTGATGCAAGTGTTGACACTGTAGGGTAATCAATATTTGGACTAGACATCTATAGGTGATGGCAAAGTGGTTGATCAACATTTGCCTAGACATCTTGGTGATCAAAAGTGCTTTTACAGTACAATAAGGTATGATCAATATTTGGAATAAGAATGTAGACTCATGCTAGGATGTAAATCAAACGTGCTTGACGAGAGCATAGGGGGGACGGTGATCTTAGCATATGGATCACAATTGGGTGATCATGATACAGACGAAATAGTAAAGCTGAATGCAAATGAAAGCTGTACCAAGAGTGTGCACAATATGCATATCTTGGCTCTGTAGTGCATGTATAACGGCATTACAAAGATGCACATTTCTTGTCTTAATGCACAAACTAGGATGGCCAATTAAGAGCATACGTTTTCATATGGGGGGCAAGGACTATAAAATGCCTGAATTTACCACAAAGGTCTGATGATAATTCAATCAAGATATGGCAACGCGTCTTACTTCCAGCTCCTTTCTGGTTAACGGATAGCATAGCTCCCGCTGTATCAGTGAACTTGTACGCTAGTGACAATATGAAATATAAAACAGTTTTCATACAAATAATGGCAAGTAAAAACTTAAAGCATATGTCATGAGTCTATAATTTGCGCGCTCAACTTTACTGAATAACAGTCTGGCGCGGTGACTACATAATCTTTCAATGCATAATCTATGGCAGACTCAAGATCAGGACTGTACATATCATTGTGAGCATCTGATCATGGTGCAGAACCATATGCGCTATTTAAGCCAGTAAATTGAGGCTGATTCTGCTAAAATGTGTTTTTTTGAAAAGTCCATTTAAGATGTATAGCATTGGTACAAGTTAATAAAGTTTCAGGCAATGTTTTGGTACTTTTGTTTGTGATAGAAAATAGTTAGCCTAGAAAGCATGGAAAATTGCATAATTATTCAGCATGTACTAAAATATGTTTTTTCATGAAAATCTTTTAGCAGGGCAATTTCTGGACAGTCTGAGCAGTACTGCATTCTAGAGTCTTACTGGATTCAATACTACCGGGATTTCAGTAAGCAAAATTGGAACCTATTAAGGACGATTTCGGAGTTTTCATATAGATGCATAATAGCAAAATTAAAACTGATTGCAATAGAATTTCTAATACTTGGCATGTGTTACGGAAGTTATAGATAACGAAAGCGATTTAAGGCCTAAAAACTAGATAATTTGTGCCATAGGAGGCATGGTGCGCCTGCAGCGCGCGCCACTGTTACCTGTCAATCTTATGACTTTTTAGGTCAAATATTTTTTGAAACAAAATATGCTTTTAGCTATGTATAAGGGCAAGAGAATCTTGACATAATCTGAATAAATCCACAAGCAAACTCCAAGGTGCCATAAGTATACATGCTGACCTAACATTCTTGTAAACTTTTCAAGGCCTACATGTGAATAATATTTTTGTGAGGCTATGGCAATGAAGCAATCTGAAAATTGGGCAAATTTATACTTACTGTAATGTCTATAGGGCAAGTAACTCCAAAGTCCGCAGGCTGGCAATAGGCTTCACAGTGATGTGAATACATTATTTCTTTAATTAAGTGATGATGATACATTTATTCGCTGTATAAGTTGTTCGATTCTAACTCAATGCACTCAAGGAATGCTGAATAACAATCATTTATGAAACAGTTTTTCACGTCAGTCAAGGGAAATAATTCTACAAATTACTGATAAATCGCACAATGCAATAACCCCATGGTGGGCAAAAACTAAATATGCTAGAGCACCCTTCCGATTAGGTTTAATTGACTCTATGTCATAAATTCTTTTGGAGTAACATGCGAGCAGACAGTTGAAAATATAAAAAATTTCTTAAGTCAAGGGCATAACTCTAAAAAATACTAAAAAAAATCCAAGACGAACATACGCAGGTGCACAACTATACATGGCTGATTCAATATTCTTTTTGGATTACATCGACACAAGTTGAAAATTGAAAAATTTTTTACTAAGCAATCTAATCAAAAATACTAAATAAAATCAAAAAATAACCAAGGTAAACTAAGGGTTTTACACATTTGGGTTTTTTTTTACCTTTCTTTTTTTGAGTTAATGCGAAAAAGGGAAAATTCAAAATTTTTATAATCAAGGAAAAATAACTCTAAAAATTAAAAAATTTTTCCAAGTCCCCGTTAAAAAAACAAATTCCCCTTTTATATTTTGGTTAATTTTTTTAAATAAAATAGATACTCTTAAAAATTCTTAAAAAAAGGCCATTTCTCTAAGAAAAATTGCACCAGTGTTTTAAAGAATGTAAGTGGAAGAAAAAATTATCCACTTTTAAATTCCTTCTTGAAATTTTGCATATCAACTAAAAACAAAGGTAAGCTTCATGAAATTAATAAGAAAAAAATGATTGCTTTTTTTTCATTTCAAATTATCTGCCCTTGAATTTAACGAAAAAGTCCAATTCAAGGGCAGCATAACTTGAAAATACGAACGGTACCCCAATTTTTTTTTGCCTTAAAATGTTTCTGTTATCATATTCTAACAATATGCCAATTTTTTAAGAAATTCTATTGAACAGTTTTAATTTTGCCTACATGTCTATATGAAAACGTCCTTAATATAACAGTTTCATCATGTGGTGCATATTGTTCCCCAGAAGAATCGCATGCCTTATGTTCAAACCTAAAATATTCAAGTCACATGATACAAGAACATGGTACAGAAAGCAGCTATAAATTACCTTCTCTGAAGTAGATGTGCCATTGAAGAGCAATGATTTTTATTTGGATTGCCAGTCTAGGGCCAGATATACGAATTCATTGGCGAGACCTGAAAAATACTTCTAACAGCAGTATCCTCTGCTATTAATAACAAAAATTTATTAACATTTTCAACACATTTAATATTTTCAAAGTAGTGCAAATCAACATTTTACGGCTGACAAAATAATACATAAATAATCACAATCAAATATACTACATTGCAGGAACATAATTGAAAATTGCAAACTTTATCAATTTTTTTACAAAACATGACTGTACGTATTATTAAATTCTAGCACTTATTTCATAATCATATACATAATATAAAAATAACAAATTCTGTACACAAAAGAAATAAAAAATTATGTTGGTCATTAAAAGTGAACATTTTCAAATATGTGAACATGTTAAAAATGTAAATGAGAACATAAATTACACAATTTCTTTCATATATACAATGAGTATCATTACTACCAATACCACCCTTTTTCCTTTCCTTAATTCTTGGACTTTTAACTTGCCATGTACAACTTTTCTCTCCCCAATCTCGATACCGGATTTCTGTTAAACAAAATGAGCAATTAAATATTGAAAATGTAAAACATGTATGAATACAGGTAAACTTTTAACATGAAATTAGTGTAATATGAAGGTAAATTTATCTATACAAGATATTTACTTTTCATCAATTATGGGAAATTTCATCAATTATGGGAAAAGAGTTAATATTTGACAAAATTCCATGCAGTTTGATCGAGAACCTTCCCAAGAAATTACAAATTATTTAAATCAACAGGCAGCTCATCTTAAAAAGGCTTGCAACATGCAAGATACCTTACCGAATTTATATTAATTGGCGCACTAGCAGCACGCTCTCATGGGGTCAGGAAATGTGCAATAACCCCTCTCAAGGTTGAATATGAAAGACAGCCCACATTCGGGTTAGCCACCGCCACTCTGCATCATCTAAAATGTAGAACTAGATATTTAAGATTAGACTTGTTGTTTTTTTCTTATCAACTATCACAGAGTCAAAATTAACACAAACAAGAGCTTTTCAAAGTAAAAATCATTGCTTTAAACCAATTGTAACACAAAACATCAACTGAACTGTCAAAAGTACCAGGTAATAAAAGAATTTCATAAAATTGAAGACATACCTGAAAATAAAAAGCTGAGCTATGAAATATACTGTGAAAAACTCTCATTTTTACAATTCATTATTACACATTTTGTTTCACAGAGAACCTCACTATTCTCTGTTTCAGTATTCTTACTCAAATTACAACTTTTTACACACCATCACTTTATACTGTACACTATCACTTGGCTTACCAACCAAGCATCATATTTAGCAGTAATTAACTGTTGGTTGCAGTCGGTGCAGCACAAAAATATCACTTGGCTTACCAACCAAGCATCATATTTAGCAGTAATTAACTGTTGGTTTCAGTCGGTGCAGCACACTTGTTCAATGCTATTAACATTATCATATCCTTATTATTCACAACCATGACCCTCATGAATTACCCTCCTTTTCACCTGATTTAGCCATTGAGGCACATTTAGAACAGAATTCCAGTGAAACACTTCCTTGGTCGACATGTAAGCAAATCCCCGCTGTTTTCTTCCCTGACTTCTTAGCGACTTTAGCTGAATTATGATAATCATGGTCAAGATCAGCTCCTCTCTTACGACGAAGTGAAGAGGTCAGCTTCACATTTTCAACATTTCCAATATTCTTCAATAGACCAGATAATGCACTTTGATTCGCTAAAACACTTCTCAAATACTCAACTTCTTCCTGTAGTTCATTTTTTTCATTTGTTACAGTCTGATTTCTCTCTTTGAGAGTGAAATTTTCACACTTCAATTCTTCAATCTCATCCTCTAAACCTTTAATATAGACCTTCTTTTTCTCACGATTTAACTTTGCTTGAACGGCATTCTTCTTGTTTCTGTCATCAAGAGCTTGAAGAAGTTCATTGTCAATCTCTTGTTTGGACTGGGCTGCAGTCTTGACAACCTTTACCACTTTCACTGCTGGTGCTGCCTTACTGTTTTTCCCGGCAAAGCTGCCAACTTTTGAACTAGAAGGTAAAATATGAAGATCAGTTTGAATATTGGTCACAGTGGGTACCTGAATAACTGGTGCACATCGTTTCACTTCAGCAGCTTTCCTTACCATTAATGCTCTCGATTGAATTATACGACCCCGAGACTGTCGCTCTGCCTGAGGAACATAATCTTGATCATTACAATCTGATTCAACATCTATGTCTGGTGAACCTCTAGATTGTAAATTTATTGATGGTCTATCAATATCATGAACCATAGCTTCTGGTGTTTTAAGATTTCTATGTTCTTCTGTAAGTGGAACTGCTAGGTATGATTCAAGTTCCTGATCAAGTTCGTCTTCTGCCACCGAATCAAAATCAAACAACTTTACCTGATCATCATTTGCTGAATTAAAATCAACTTCACTAAGAGGCGATACTGACCTAACCTCACTCATGTCTGAACAACCGCTGTCCGACTCGTGACTGGGCGAGGCCTTGCTAGCAAACACAGGATCTACGGTCATCCCAAAATCGACGTCACATCGGATAACTTGGCTGTCCATCAGCTGATCTAATAAACAAGGAACAGAAAAATTAAGATCACTTGCCATCTTTAAATAGAGATTCGAATGTTTTTGTTTCTGTTTTTTTTTTATCAATCAGATCACAGTTTTATTCAACTACAGATCTAAAATTAAAGCTTAAACAAGTTCTGATACAAAAAATTTAACACGACAGACTTAAAATCAAATTTTTAAATGTTAAAATGTTACAAACAATTACAATTTTAAAGTCTGTTTTAACAGTCCTACGTCCCAAGTCTGTTCTTTTTCAACGAATGTAAAAGTAGTGCGGTTGTCGCGTGATATATAAACAAGCGAAACGTTTTCGATACGTTTTAGCAGTATCAGCAAATTGTGAGATGATTTGATTGGTCAAAGTTAAAATATGAAATATTTTGATTGGTAGTTATTTTCAGGTATGACACAGTCAAAAACGTTTGAAAACGTTGACCTAATTACTTGTTTTAGCATTCCGCTCGTTCAAAATAGTTCACAGATAAACGTATATTATTTCGAACATACTTTCCCAAATGAAACAATTTTAGAAAAAAATCTTGTATTATTGACATACTGTGAGCAACATTTTAAAAAATCAAAGGAAAATATTGCTTACATACAAAATTCTACCAGCTCAGAATATCATTACATATATCCGGTATAACCGTATGACTTTGGTTATTTCCGTAAGTTTGATAACTATGTCTAAACACCACTAAATATTTTCCTTCCAGCTTACATAGTATGCAATAACATTGTGCAAAAGTGCTTTGACAATGATTTTGAAACCAGGGTACTGAGTACAGTTTTTTTTGTCAAATAAAAACTTAAAACTATCATCTCTAACACAATTTCATTCATTAAACTATCTCCGCTATTTGCTAATTAGCAGGATTTCCGAATTATTGTTACTCCAAGCAGTGATTACTTTCCCTGATCATAAACTTAAGACACAGGGCTGGGAATCAAAACTGCGTCGTATCCTACAAAATGTAAACAAACGCCGCCATCTTGGAACGAAAAATGTATGTTTTTGTTAATAACTCTTTTTGTTGGAAATGACTGAAAACCAGATATATGTATTAACACGCTACACTATTTTCCGCTTCGTTCGGTATATGTTGCTTAGACAACTATTTTGTAAAACAAAAGTTATAGCGAACTTGCAACTCGAAGCGGAGCAGAATTTTTTTATGAAATTGTGTGGATACGACGCAGTTCATATTGCTTTATCTAGTCGTTTCTCCTTCAAATCAATTATATATTTGTTTCAGAGGTTCACCATAAACTTCAAAACATAATTTTGCATCATTTACTAAATTTCCATTAAAAGAGATGTTTATTTTCCAAAGAAAATAATGATTTTTACGAAATGATACGACGCAGTTGAAAATAAAATATGATACGACGCAGTTGTATTTTCATTGCAGGCTGCATATTGGTTTTAAACTTAGTCTATTTAAATTATGTGCTAGGTATGCTAATAACGTCCAACAACATTTCTTGTTTACAACTTAAGTCAAAAGCAGAGGTCACTCATTGGTTTCCATTAAAAATGGAAATGTAATACAATTCTATTAAGGCTGCATTTAAGTACCTATCATATTAAGCATCTACAAATTCCGAAAAAAAACTGTATCAAAATGCAAGATACATTGTGCAATAAACACGTGATCGCACACCCATATGATAACGTGTTCCAGTGTTGCCTTAGCATGCTTCTAAAATTTTCCCGTGAGTTCGAAATGGGAGTGATTACTATTTTTGATACAAAATTCAATATTCCAGTGTAACCTCTCCTTTGAACCCCTATACTAGTATTAATCAGGAATGACTTTTTTTTTTTAAAAAAAAAAGAGAGAAAAAATTACAAATTTTGAAAAGGTCTCTTGCTATTCGGAAGAGAGCTATGCGCAAATTGCATGCCTACCTTTGTTACTTGTAATGAGCAATAATTTCCGTCAATTCCGTTATTACTTATGTATTTTACGTGCCGATTTTATTGTATTCATTTTCTTAATAATCGGTGAGAACAGATGACCTTTATTATTTTGAAACATTAAATTTTTAAAATTATATTATAAATGGTTAAGCTACAATATATTTTTGCAAGTAGGTTATGCGTTCCGTTAGTCATTTTATATTTAGCGCCGCGGAACTTTACCTCTGATTTTGTCGTATTGCATTTCTTTATCGCCGATGAGGAAAGGTCTACGGAATGTATTTTCTATATTTGCACTTAAGTACTTCATTCTTCTCCATTAAAAAACTTTAAATTTTCAAAATCGAGTTACATATGATACAACTACAGATTATTTTGTAATGAAGGTGTCCGTTTTGCAAAGGTATTTTACGCTGTGCACCGATAAATTTGATACAGATATAGGCAGACATGATCTTTCAACAGTATTAAAGAAGTTTTCACAATATTAAACAGAAAATTAAGGTCAGATTATCGCATCAAATTTTCAACAGACTAGAGCTCTATATGGCATCTTAACATACCTTCATACTAAAATGTGATTTTTATTTGATAATGAATTGCCTGAAAACTTAAACAAAGGTTTTCAGAAAAGGACTTCACAGAGGATTACCCCCTGTTTACATTGAAAAATTTCTCTGCTAGTCATATCGAAATAAGAAATTTAATTGTCTCTTTATAATTAATTCAAATATTTATAATCTTATAACTTCACGCCAGAAGTTATTAAAAAAGCTGCTTATTTGTACAGCTGACGTTAACAAATTTTGTTGAAAAAACAAATCAGAAAGGTGTGTCCGACCGTGGCCGAGCTGTTTATGTTTACTGAATTCAAATCACTTGACCTGAACTGCTATGAATTCAAAAACCACCAGGGACTTTTTATTCTTTCGTGTGGAAAACCTATGAAGCTAGTTTCAAAATGTCGATGGTTCTCTGCAGGTGCAACATTTTGCCTGAAATAATGCACAAAGGCGCACCGAGGTCCTCGCCCCTAATAAAGCTAATGTGTAGAGTGAAAGTTTGAAAACAAACCACAAAAAAGCAGTCATTACCCAGAACATGCAGAACCACAGTTAACTTAGAGCGTAGCTAGCCAACATGAATTCAAGTTAATAGATTTCTATATTTTTTTGCGAAAAAAATTAGGGATAATATTGAACCTACAGGAAAATATAAAAAATATTTCAGATATTATGATCAATTAGGTAACATGTTTAACTGAAAAGTAGCTTCCGCAATGTAAACTTTCAAATTAAATTTTATATTGGACATGACACAATGTATTCTAAATAATCAAAAGCAACAGAACATTGCTATACACCGCAAATGATCTTGTTTTTTTTTATCTAGCGCAAGTGATTATTCCATAAAATAGAAATATTTTGCCAAAATTATCTCAGTTGAAAGGACTGCCAAAAATACAACTGCGTCGTATCATATTTTATTTTCAACTGCGTCGTATCATTTCGTAAAAATCATTATTTTCTAAGAAAAAAAACATCTCTTTTTAATGAAATTTTAGTAAATGATGCAAAATTATATTTTGAAGTTTATGGTGAACTCTGAAACAAATATATAATTGATTTGAAGGAAAAAACGATAGATAAAGCAATATGAACTGCGTCGTATCCACACATTTTCATAAAAATTCTGCCCCGCTTCGAGATGCAAGTTCGCTATAACTTTTGTTTTACAAAATAGTTGTGCAAGCAACATATACCGAACGAAGCGGAAAATAGTGTAGCGTGTTAATACATATATCTGGTTTTCAGTCATTTCCAACAAAAAAAGTTATAAACAAAAACATACGTTTTTCGTTCCAAGATGGCGGCGTTTGTTTACATTTTGTAGGATACGACGCAGTTTTGATTCCCAGCCCTGAGACAGTTAGGAACAAGGAATTATATGAGATTAAAATTGGATTAATTGCCGAATTTTGTTGATTTGGAAAGCGAGGGATATAATTACAACTTAGAAGTTTGATCTTTCAGTATTTGCATCTGCTGTTAAACTATTCAGGTTACTTAAGATTAGATTTAATCTACTATATTGTTGAAACACTCCAGCTTCTTGGCCCTTTACTTATCATGGCAATGATCTGAGTGCACACATGTAGACTAACACCATCTATAGCTGTTAAGAACTTTAATAATTTTAAATTATCTGTAAAAGTGGACAGCATTTGAGATGACCATGGAAATGCATATTCTTCGATAACATAAAAAGTATCTATTATTTTATAATTGAGATCAAAGAAAATAAAACAATACTTTTAAACAATTTAATATTTATTCTTCCCCCATTTTTGCTTTAGCTTCAGCCCTCTGTTGGTGCACACAGAACTTTGATTCAAAGCATTGATAGTATACCTTACAACCATATTTTTATTAGACTCCATAAGTAACTCTGACAATTACCTCACCATTTGATGCATAACATTAACATAATGAATTGTATTATTAGAGTGAGACTGAGGCATATGATTAACACAATAAGTTCTTTCAATCTACTGTAAGAAACATCATGGTAATTTTCTCGTATACCTTACACAACTGTGAACACAACATTAAAATTACAGGAGAAACTTTTAAATACCTTTGGAGAAAGAGTTTTTAACTGGACTTGATTTACCAAACTTAACATCAAAAAAGAAGGCTGCCTATAAAACAACATTTCATGTAAGACCTGGTTAACATAAATACAAGTGCATTAAAGGGAGATGAAAGGGTGAAATGGATGATGCTCAAACATGTAAACTTTCTAGACAGGATCATGGTCTTTGTATTGATTAGAAAGTATGCTAATAAGAAGTCGTTGGTTCAGATTTGAGTCAAGTTACATCTTAGTCATGTGCTGGCCTGAATCAATTATATAACCTGTACATGTATAATTAACAGTAGAGTTTTCAAAATTCATAAAGAGCAAATAAAAGTAAAAAGAGAGGACCAGGATGGCTATTATTGCTCATCTGACTAAAAAGTGTTAAGGACAAGAAACGCTATAAATGAAAAACATGTATAAGGTCAATATCTAGGTTAACTGATTTTACTAGTTCAATCAATATCAAAGATCAAATCTATGTTAGTGCACATGTACAAAAGTAAGTGGTTCTGAAAATCCAACTTGCAGGAATAGGTTGAACATACATAAATTCTATTAAAAAACGGGTACTAACTGAGGAAAGTAGATGCCACAGTCATCATATGTAACTTCCCCAGATTGTTTAGTACAATGTGTGCTAATTATGAAGCCATTGATACAGGTATAACTTAGGTTATATCCAATTTTCCAGGATAACTTTACCTTGTACAGACAGACGGATGGACAAACCGATGGTTCAATTACAACTGGTGCAAAAGAACTGAATTCTGCAAGTTTGTAACATTATGAGTTATGAGATATAAAAACCACATCAGTTTTTAAACAATTTTATTACAATATTTCATAACAATGTAAAGAAACAAGCTAAAGTACTTTTCATAATACATGTATATTAAACAGAATTGCATCAATCTTGACTATTTACTTGTAACCTACTTAACCATTTCTCTGCTTATTTTAAGTAATGGACTTCACCTGCCTCTAACTTAGCTCAGTCCATTTTTAGTGTAAGGGAATTCAAGTTTGCCATAGTCAATTTGCACAGGTGTGTATGTCGGCCTGGCTTAATACTTCTAGCCCATGTCTCTTATGGTGTGGTGCTTCAAGGATTTACAAGCAATATAAATGAGCTGTGTCATAACAAAACCCACATAATGGGTTTGCGACCAGCATGGATCCAGACCAGCCTGCGCATCTGCGTAGTCTGATCAGGATCCATGCTGTTCGCTATCAGTTTCTCTACTTGCTATAGGGTTTGTAAGCGAACAGCATGGATCCTGATCAGACTGCGCAGATGCGCAGGCTGGTCTGGATCCATGCTGGTCGCAAACCCATTATGTTGGTTTTGTCATGACGCGGCTCAAATGTATACATGAATATGTGAACATTGTCTCTAAGAAATTATTATTGCATGCATACCCATAAACAGTAAAGTTAAAGTATACCGTATGAAGTCACATAGGACCCATACATTTATTTATTGTTGCAAAATGTAAGGAATGCAAGTACTACATCGAACAAATTACAATTCACTTTTGCCCACCTGTTTTAAATAACGATTTTATTGTTCCTTTTAATGTGTCCTTGTGATATTAGGTTAAAGTTTCTTAATGTTAAAATAATTATGCATTTTATAAATATACCCAACCTCCATCAAAATGGTCCCCTTATACTAATTAATAATCAATTGATCTTTTATCTTACAGACAAATAGCAAAACTTGTAACAGAGCATAAAAGACCTGTGTAGCTATATATTAAAATAATTTTATTTGCCCTGATATATAGAAATGGTAAGCAATGAGAAATATCAGTTAATGTCAGATATTTTTTAGTATAAGTACATGCAAGTTTAAATATATGTTGTATGCACTAGCTATGCTGTCATACCACTGACCCTTATACTTTGTACCATTTAATGAATGTAAAAAAAACAATGTAAAACAAAGCTAATTTAAAACTATACACAATAAATTAGACATCATTTAAATATAATAATATTTATAAAATCCAAGTAGAAACACTCAAATCTCACAGGGTAGTACAAATATCCTCTGATAGTGATTACTAATAGACTTAAAAAAAAAAAAATTATGCTCATGTTAGCCATTGTAATTAAAGCCTTGGATTAGCTTACAAAGTTGAAAACAAGTAAACTGATATAATATATATTATAGCCATTTACGCAACTTAGTTTCTCACTTTTTGAATATAAAGTCTGATAGCTATGATTGCTCTGTCTACTATTTTATGTCATAATTCATACATGTACTTGGATCTCACGTAATGTAAACATTAATAATATAACAAAACAATATCCAAATAAGATCATGATCTCATTTACATACACTTATTTATCAATATACATTGTATTGTGAAACAATAAAATGTTAAACAAAAACAATATTATCTGAGCTAAGAGGTTCTTTAAAAAATTGTGGTTCAATGTTATTAAAAAAATGTTGCTTATAATTTAATATACATGTACATTGTACTCAGAAAAGTCTCTTTCTTGACATATACATGTAAGTGCAAGTGACCAAATCCCAACCAAGGAGTCAGGTTTAAAAGTGATCAAAACAATTCAGTAAATCAACAAATATAACTCATTCTGTACTTGTCTGATAGAGAATATCATACTCAATTGTAACAAAATGCATAATACATTAGCTGAAAGAATGTAAGAGTTGTCTCCCTTTCATTGAATTTTCTTCAAAAGTATGCTTCCTCTCTTCAAACAGTTATAGTAATGGGATGCTTGAAAATTGCTTAACACATGCTACTCAATTTTTACAGGACAATGAAAAGCTGCAACATTATAATGTAAGTATGCTCTTTACAAATCTTGTTAATAAACTTTCGAGCTGTCATAGTGCATCAAAACACTGATTCTGTAATGACAGAACCACAGACTTCGAGAACCAACTATACTGGCAAGACAGTGTCAATACTTCATTGTACTCAGTTTCTCCACATGAGTGCTTGCAATATCTAAAGTGAGTAACATTTAAATAGTTAAACTTCGCTGTTAGAACATAGGAAGGCAAACTTTCCCAGCAAACAGTTCTGAAATCACTGTGAAAAATATGGCAAGAATGAAGAGAACATATGATGATCCAACTTGTGTTTGATTAGGAAGTTTATATGGCTGTCCACCAATTTCTTCTATTGCAAATCCAACCGGGAATATCACAGCTGCCAGGCAGAACAATGTCACTGAAAAATATGATTCAAAGAAGTAAGTTACAAATAACTCTTTCTTGAAAAGGTTTACAACACAATACACTTTACATCTTTTTTAACATATCCCATTTAGTAATATTTATAAACAGTCATTTGGTTTTGTAAAAAATTGTTTAGTTGAGTTGAGTTTAGTTGAGTTTAAACATATATATTGCGAAACAAGCTCTTGCAACTTATAACAATTTAAATTAATCACTTACAAGTCCACTTCGTGGAACCAACCAGTACTGGTGTCATATAAAGAAACATCACCCAAGTAGGACTTGAACCCATGATCTTGAAATTGGGTTGAGAGGCAGACAATATGACCTTAACCATGAGGTCACACTCCACCTTTCAGTTATATATTTCAATAAGGACCAATCTGTATCCCTTTAGTCAGTATTTCAGTCAATAAGTTACACCCCACAAGCCTCCTAAACATTAATGTGTCTGCATATACATCAGTTATTGTGGCTTTTAGCCTTACTTTGGTTACAACTATGATAAGCAGAGTTACAGTTAGTTAACTTAAACAAGGCAGACACACGAGTGATTCCAAAAGACCTCAAAACTTTTCTACACAATCATGCTCAGATAGTATGTTTAAACTTACAGTGTGTTCTACTGTTCTACTTTCATTCAACAGTAACTAACCCATAATAGGCAATTACTGCCTAAATTTCTTAGTTTCTATATAATTCTGCATATATCAGATTGGGCTTGGACTGTATAGGATACATGGTGACAATTTTAAATAATCAGAAAATCCTTGAAGTTGTATATGTACCATTTGTTTCATTAAAATTATGTTTTAACACCAACCTTTCGGTTAAACCTTAGATAAATACATGCATATTGTTTGTTTTTTTTTTGCTTTTTTGCCAACACAATTTGTGTCATATTGCTCCGAAACAGGAAAGATAATTTTGGCTAAACCTTGGGTGTTACTGACTTTCAAAATGAATAAATTGAAAGGACTGTAAAAATATGTACATAATATACACTTATCAAGTAACTTACTAGCTGTAAAAGCAATCCATCTAGCATATTTAATTGCATTCCTCTTCCAGTGAGACAAGATCTGCAGTACACATGTCACAGTTAGACACATTATACCAAATGAAATGAGAACCAAAGTCAGCATCCATTCTAAAGATATCCGAGGAAATGTGCAAATCTCTGTACGACCATATATCACCTGACAGTGCTGAGTCAAACCAAGTCTCATGTGACCTGTAACAGATTAAGCATGTATGTTAATATTAAATAATAAGTATGTCAGTATAAATATCAAGAACTAGTCAATGTAAATTATAATTGTAGCTCACTCTTCCTGTTGGCACATGCATGTCATTGAGAGACCAAGGACATTGGCAAACTTCAGATCTTGCAGACCAGCCACCAAGGACCTTATTAGTCAAGTCAACCCAAATTTTCTTAATTAGACACATTTCATGTTAACATGAGTAATTTTGGTTAGTAATAAGTACAATGTTACTAGAGGCTCTTTGAACATATGTGTATATAATTATCGTATATATATAATTATATTAGTGATAAAAATCATTCGTAAAAAGTATTTGTTCTTATCATTTGCAAACGCATAAACCACAATTCAATTTACAATATTACAAAAACTACAAATTGGTTAACTCCCTAGTAAATAAAGATACTGAAGCCAAGATTTAGGAATGGCCTACAAAAAGTAGTGGTCGGGATGACAAGGAAAGGGTACTAAGGTGTGTGAGCCCTTCTAAAGACAGCACAGATTACTAGAAAGGTAGGCCCTTATCAGGACTACCTTACCTTCATTATTGTCATAAGTTAGTGTAAATTCTAGGCCTCATTGTACAGTGACCTACATGTACTTCAAACTTGAATGTAACTTTAATTCATCTCTTTGGCTAATACTCTGTGTACTACCTAAGTCAACCTTGTGCTTCGAAATTAACCCTTCCAGGGTTTTATATAATTACTCACGAATGGCAACCAACGTTTACATAATAAAAGCCCTGGTGCACAATTTGTTGGGCTAGGGTCTGCACTTGATAGCGCATGCTAATATTTTGTGCTGGGCCCTCAGTAAGCCTAGAACTCAGTCAATCAACAACTAATTATAACGATTCACAGCTGATATTTATGTAATCCGACAATATCAAACAAAAACATCATCCATGTCAGATTACTTTGACCGACAAAGAACACGAAGCTAACATCTACATATAAAACAATAACTGAAAATATAAGCACTAGGTCCTACCATTTACATCACTGACAATCCACTCTGGATGTGCCAGACTTGCTATGGCAAAAACATCAGCAACCAAGAAAAGAATCCCTGAAACCGCTGTCAGTTTGTCCATAGTTGCGTCTTCGATATAAAAATAGTGGAATCACAAATTTTACATGCTGTGTTATATTACTACTGCATTAATGTAAGTGAAACTGTTACTTTTCACCCAATATTTGATGATTCTCAAGAAAATTTCTGATTGTTTTGCTAATTGGTTTCCATTTTGGTATAAAGTAATTCACAGAATTTCTTCATATATTATGACGAAATAATTACTTTGATCTTGAAGGTTTGGCTCTAAATTCGTAAATCTTTCTTTATTTTAACCTTAATATTAATTCTAATACAATAAAAATGTAGATATACTTTATATTTGTCATATCATTTTAGTTTTAGTTCAAAATGTTAAGAAAGATTTTTTTCGTTCAATTAAATTATGCTATCACACTGGACACGGTTAACCCGGAAGTAAGAGGTCAAAATCTAGTTTGTTAACTTTCATTTTACAAATGTTAGTTCGTGGCATATTAAAATGGCACGCATACAAATTGCAAACATTATCAGTGAGCCTGCATTACAATTTTTGCTTACAAATGCAGAGGACAATCTAGATATGAAGCGTGGAGCATTAGCAAACGTGTTTACATATTCTAATTTGGTGCATGCCATAGCTGGAGCAGTGGTATATTTTATCAGTTATTTTATTTATAATATTTAGATGTAACATTGCATTTATTTATAGTAAATGATAAGCAAAATCACGTAGGCTTATGCGCTAATTAAATAGCAATTTTATTTCTACATGGATAACTAGTTAAATACTACAAGAGCATTAGTTTATAATTTAGTCCAAATAATTAGAGGTAAAAAAAGTAAGGGTAATATTTTATACTTATGATTGTGACATTTAACATTTTTTTCCCATGGAAAATGAATGTATCAGATTAATGATAAACATGAAATAGGTTACATATGGGTCTTATAATTAGGACTATTTTGATAACAAAATCCCAGGTGTATACATGTAGACTACGTACAGTACATATTTAAAAGCTTATATATATTAGATACATAGGAATGTTTAGTTTTAATAATATTTGCTTAATTCATCATGTAGTCTAAGTCATTCCTAGTCTTATACTAATTTGGTGTGTGTCATCCTTTTTAATGGACACAACAATTTAAGTAATATGTCTATGTCATTACAGCATATATATTTCTAAGAATTGCCTAATTAATTGATTTTAACCCGATAGAATTTGCAATATAGGCTTATTAAAGCTTAATTAATTCAGAGTGAACTGTTTGACCCATTTTACAGACATTTTTTTTCTAGTGTCATACCGTTCAAAAAAGACATTGCCAATCCAAAATTATCTTGATGTCTCTTTGACAAGTCTAATTAGTTGGACTTATAAGGCTATTAAAATATATTAGATTTTTTGAAATTAAACATTGGAAATCCAAAATTATCTGGATGTCTTTTGACAAGTCTAATTAGTTGGACTAGTAAGGCTAAAACATTAGATTTTTAGAATTAAAATTGTTAAAGGTTTTAGATCTGAAATGAATAATTTTGGACTACTCTCTATTGACTTTTAAAAACTGACTGTCTTGCACTGGCTGTTATTTTTAGAATATTATTATTAACCAGGAATTTCATGGATCTCAGTATCAGATTGTGCAGCTCTGGCCAGACTCACTCAGACAAACTGATGTCATCAATGGTCTGTAATTATTTATCATCGCTAACATTCAAAGGGCTTTATCCTAGCTGTTCAAAATCATACTTGGAACATATTTATATAAACATTAACTTTATCATGGAGATACATTTCTGTAACATAACTCATAACCTGTCTATTTCATCAACTTTTGATTCACTTTATACATTGTAACTCCTTTTTTATTTTAGGCTTTCTATGCATGTGTACATGGTAGGTTTACTAAACCTGAATAACTTGTGGGTTTTTTTTACATGATTAGCAACTAAAATACCTTTGTCAGTATAAATTAACTAAATTAAGTAGCTTACACTCCTAGACAACTTGTTGACTTTGCAATTCACATAACTTTATTTTGCATATTTCCTAAAATGTTTCTTTTGTTTCACTAATCTGGAAACTAAGTTATAATCATATGTTGACTGATTCAATTTTATCTTGTGATACATGATTTAGTTGCTTTCAGTTTTAAAAATTTAATCAAGTTTGCTAAACTGGTTATAAACTTGAATGAATGAAAGATTTTTAGAGACATTGAAAAGGAAGCTGAAGCACATAGAAGTATGACTTCCTTAAGTAACAAAAATCCGCAGTCACAGACTGGGAATTAATATTACAAAATCAAAACATTGTATGAAATGTACATTAATTTTGTCCCTGTAATACATTAGCATTAATTTTATGGATTTGTTATGCATAAAATGGTTTGAATTACAAGCTCATGAATAATAAATATGCTATTCCCATGGATACTACAAAAGTACATGTATATTTACATAGTAATAAGTTTTTTTAATTTTATTTTTGTATTGCAATATTGCAAAGCTGTTTTTAACTTAAATGATGTACAGTGTGAGGCAACGTAGAACACACTTAATTGTTTTTGTTAGTATAAAATGTACATCATTAAATCATGCGTGTAAGTTGATATCATTGTCAATAAACCACTTGTTCCTTTCTTTGTTGCAATGTAAAAATGCAATTTTTCCTAAAAGATTTACATTTAGGTTTAACTGAATATGACTGATATATTTTTTCTGGTATTTTCTTGTATTTTACATTCTACAATGTTTAATCATTTCATCACTATTGCAAATTTATAGTTATATTTATAATTGAATAGTCCCAAGGCCAATTAGACTATATGAAACTAATTACCTTAGTGGGTTTTTTGTGCATTTGACCATAGTTATGAAGATTTTTATCTTATACATGTACATTGTCTATCTAATAATTAAAATGTCATTAGGTGCTTTTCTTTTATCAATGACATTTTTTGTCCCTTTAACATTAGCCTTTTTTGTAACTCTTTAAAATTAGCCCTTGCTTCTGAACCATTTTTTTGCTTCTGTGGCTTTCTTGGAATTAGTACAGTAATAATGATTTAGTATTTTGTAAGGAAGTCAAAATACTTCTTTGTTAATATTTTAATACTTTTATGATAAATAATTTCACATTCAGCTCTGCTTTCTTTGGATGATAAGCATCTAACATGCTCTTAAACCATTATTTAAAGGTTATAACCATCATGTTTGCCCTTTCTGAAGGAGAAAAAAAAATGTTTCCAAGGCATAATGTGCCTTTAAAGGAATTTCAAATTTTACAAATGTTACCCATATACTGAATATTCAAGCAGTATTTTATTATTTAATTACATTATATCTGATAGCAAAAACGACTAGAATAGTATATTAAACATGATTTTTTTGTATTTAATGAAAACCACTCAGGTTTTTAGACATGACAAGGCTGAAAATATTTGTCCTAGATTTGTGTACCAGTTGATTCAGGTCTTATCCAATAACTTGTATGCGCATTTTTAGCTAATTCCCTCATCCTGTTTTTCAAGAATAATACTTTTTATTGTGAAAAATAACCCAATAATGAAAAGGGTTGCAAGGCTTTTCTCTCACATTCGGCTGATAATCACATATAAAATTGATTTTCAATTTAATTCTGAGTATATTTCTTTGTTTATCTTTGCAGGGTTTCAATTTAAAAAATAGATAAATACAGAATCCCTAAAGAAAGCCCAACACGACAAAATTGAAAATGTTGCAGGCTCGGTTTGATTGAGCCTGTTCATGGACGGTACTGGAAAGTGCAAGTTACCGTCCACGCCCCCTAGCACCGGCTTAAGCAGAATTCAACATTTAAACGTGGAATAGTAAAATTTTGAATTTAGAAACATCCGCAGATGTGTTCATACGGCGGTTATCATGGAACCTTCAATGTGACACTTCCGTGCCATTCCATGAAAAGCGGCGTATGGTCCCCAAGTAATAAAAAGCGTGTGCCCTAAACGAGAAAACAATGGGCGGAACTAAATAAAATGGAATTTTGAAAGGGGATCAGAGGTTATGAAGCCTGCGTATCACAGATAAGACGTCAAAAGACAAATTTAAAAAGCAGGCAACATATCCTAAGGGTGATTCAACATTATTCAAGTGGGAATATTGGAACCACCCAACTAGACAATGCCGAAAAGTTGAAACTAAAATTACCACAAGCACAACAATAATGTCGTGCTGAACGATCTTCAAGGATCGAAAATATAACATCATTGATTAAATGTACGGGGAGACTTTTTACAGCCGCCACACGGCACAAATAACACGGATGTGATCATAAAATAGATAAATACAGAATCCCTAAAGAAAGCCCAACACGACAAAATTGAAAATGTTGCAGGCTCGGTTTGATTGAGCCTGTTCATGGACGGTACTGGAAAGTGCAAGTTACCGTCCACGCCCCCTGAGTATATTTCTTTTTTTATCTTTGCAGGGTTTTCAATTTTTAGGGCTTCATTTGATATTTGTAATATTTTCAAAATTTATTTTTTATGCCTTTACACCTCAGTGGAGCTCCTTTAAGTAACATAAAAAGCCTTTTTTGTTATCAATTTACAAATTGCTTCTTTCAGGGAAGTGTAGTTGGCCTGACAGTGTTTTTCCCTCTTGATACAGCAAGAACAAGACTTCAAGGTAATATAGAATAGTTATATCTCTGTAATGTTGATTTTCATTTACAACTTGTGATGTTCATATAATCTTTATACATGGCAGCCAGCTGAAAATTCATGAATAAATTTCCATTTTATTCAAAACAGCAATTGTACAGTTGTTATAAAGCTTTTGACATGTCAGTCATGTAGCTGTGTAAAAATTGTTATTTAACCTAACATTGTGCAATATATAGAATTAAATTAAACATGTATATAATTATCCTCGATGACCCATGCATAATTGCTACGTATACAGTTCAGCGGAATCTGTTCCCTTGGGTTCTAACAATGGTATAATAGACTGAAAACAATAAGGGACATATCATGTGATAAAATCTTTTATTGTTTGTTTTATAGTTGATGAGAAAAGGAAAGCAGAATATTCATTTGCTGTTATATTAGATATAATAAAGCAAGAAGGATTGTAAGTACGATGTATTTTATAAAACTGAATTAAACACCATAAATTATGAATTGTTAGATTGCTGATCAATATTAGACATGTATATGGTGATTACCGGTATATAACAAAAAGGTTAGATATGCTATAATGCAGTTTAAATAAATATTTGTTTCTATGTATATGAGACAGAGAGTTTGGTAAAGAAAACTATTAATATGCACCTTTGGGTTTGCTTGTGGATTTATTCAGTATTTGTAAAGTTCATGCCCTTTACTTAGTAAAAGATTTTTAGATTTCAACTTTTGGCACATGTAGCCCAATTTTATTTGACCTAGAGTCATAAAATTGACAAAACAGAGGAGTTTGGGGGCACCCATGTCCTTTGGACATATTTCTAGTTGTATGCTTAAGGTGACATCATTTCATTGTTATGAATGAAGTTGTTAATTCATAGGCTTAGTTACTGTAAGAAAACAGTGCTGAATGAAAATATTAGTTTTGCATAATTTCTTTTTCTGAAATATTATTTATATGAAAGATACAAGAAGAAGAATCAAACACTGGCTGTCATTACAGACTTTTGGGTACTATTTGTGCTGAAACTTGACAGAGCCTCATTACTATTGTTAACATATATCCTTAAGCCAGATATTCTAGTGTATACCAGCAACTAGTGTTAGATTCTTATAATATTCATTCCCTTAAGGCAGTGCAAGACTTTTAGTATCTATATAGCATTGATTTAAAAGAATGACATTGTAAAGTTACATTATATGCCAAGTTAACCATATAGGTGATAGATAACCAGCATATTGATACTTCAGTACTTTGATTTATGTTAATTTCAGCTTTTCCTTGTATAGAGGTCTAATACCAGTGATTTCATCCCTCTGTTGCTCAAACTTTGTTTACTTCTACACTTACAACTGTATGAAAACTGTCTTCATTGGAGAAGGTGTCAAACCAGACCCATTTAAAGACCTTACTTTTGCATTTGTGTCAGGTAAGAAAAAAAATCATGAAAAGTTATTGTTTGTATCAATTATAAATATTTTTTTATTTAAGAATACAAATGTATTTGAGTTATTTATTTCTTACTGTAAATTAAATTCTCCTCATAGCTGTGGATTAAAACCATTTCTAAACTATTCTTTTATATATGAAGCACATTTCTGTCAGGTCAGTGGTTCTATCTAGTTATTGTCGGTTGTTTTGAAATAATACACATAGGAGCACCTTGAGTCGACCTTAAACGGGAAAGCTGGAGTGTAACAATATGATCTTAAATGGGCTGATTAAAAAACAAACAAATGGTGACATACAAGCAAGACATTGGATAGTTTACCAACTAAAAGTTTATCTTTTTAGCTCACCTGAGCATGCTCAGGGTGAGCTTTTAGGATCGATGATTGTCCGTCGTCCGTCCGTCGTCCGTCCGTTCACATTTTGTTGTTAACACTCTAGCGGTCGCATTTTTGCCTCAATCATCATCAAACTTGGTCAGGATGCTTATCTAGTTGATAGCTTGGATGAGTTCGAACATGGGTCATCTCGGATGAAAAACTAGGTAACAAGAGCTAAAAATAGAAAAACCTTGTTAACACTCTAGCGGTCACATTTTTGCATCAATCATCATCAAACTTTACAGGGTGCTTGTCTAGGTGATAGCTCGGATGAGTTTGAACATGGGTCATCTCGGATGAAAAACTAGGTCACTGGAGCTAAAAATAGAAAAACCTTGTTAACACTCCAGCGGTCACATTTTTGCCTCAATCATCATCAAACTTTACAGGATGCTTATCTAGGTGATAGCTCGGATGAGTTCGAACATGGGTCATCTCGGATGAAAAACTAGGTCACTGGAGCTAAAAATAGAAATAATAATAATAATAATAATAATAAAGACTTTATTTAAAGAGGCAACATAGTTGGGCATGCCCAGTCTTCCCTATGAGCCTCTATCAAATATACAATGTACATAATATAAACATTTACAAACAAAAGGTATGATAAACAACAACATAATTACAAATACAATATAGTTAAGAAACATGTAAAATGAAAATCTAGGGAAAAAACATTATATAAGAATATAATAATTGCAATTCAGATATACATTTATCATTTTATAATACAACTTGATGTGTTTTATTCCCACCAGAGAACCACCATTTAAGATAATTATTTTTGAACGATTGTAAATTTGTGGAGTTTCTGATATCTAAGGGAAGAGAATTCCAAAGTTTTGACCCTGAGTATGATAAAGATTTTCTGCAGAACTCAAGTCTAGGTTTTGGGATTTGAAGTTGTTTTTGTTGATATGATCTTAAATGTGTATTTTCAGTGTAAGTAAAAAGATTTTGCATATAATCAGGGAGAAGATTGTTAAGGGACTTGTACACTAAAATAGCTTTTTTATAATTTACTCTTTCAGAAAATTTCATCCAATTTAATTCAGAAAATAAATCATCAGTGGGTGCATCAAAATCTTTGTCCAATATTATTCGTGCTGCCCGTTTTTGAAATTTATACAGGTCATTTAAGAGTTCTTTACTGCAATTTCCCCAAATAGTGCAACAATAGTCTAAGTGGGGAAGAATGTATGCATTAAAGAAAATTTTCCTTACATGAACATTTAGAAATTGTTTTATTCTCAAAAGAAGGTATAGTAATGAATTGCATTTATTCAGTGTCATTTTGACTTGTGTTTTCCAGTTCAGTGTATGATCAACATGGACACCTAAAAGTTTTTCTGTTTCTGAAATTTGTAAGCTTTCATCTTGAAGAGTGATCTGGAAATCACTAGTATTACTGATAGTATTATAGATATTATTTGAAGGTGAAATAAACATAGCTTTAGTTTTATTAGCATTTGGAATCATTGAATTCCTGTTGCACCACTTTTGTATGGAATTTAGGTCAGACTGAAGTTTTGTACAAATTGAACTGATACTGTGTCCAAATGAGGTAATTGTAGTGTCATCAGCAAACATGTCTGATGTAGAATGTGATAAATGCAAAGGTAAGTCATTAATGTAGATAATGAAAAGGAGAGGACCTAAAACTGAACCTTGAGGCACACCAGATTTTATATCCTGAGCTTCAGAATATTTTCCAGACACGCATACTTGTTGTGTGCGATCACTTAGGTATGACCTAAACCATGAAATTGAATTTCCATGTATGTTATACATTTGTAGTTTTTTCAATAATAGGTTATGATTGATCAAATCAAATGCTTTTGTTAGGTCCAGAAATATAGTCCCTATAAGTTTTTCTTCATTTATTGCTCTGATCCAGCTGTCAATAATTGAAGTAAGAGCAGTTTCGCATGAATAATTTGTGCGAAAGCCAGACTGATTTGGCTGAAAAAGAGAGTTAGTTTCAAGAAATAATTTAAGATGATTGCTAACATGTCTTTCTAAAACTTTCGATAGAACTGGTAGTATTGATATAGGCCTGTAGTTACCTTTTTCATTTTTGTTGCCCTTTTTATGTATAGGTGTTACTTTTGCTTGTTTAAAGGCAGAAGGAAATAAGCCACTTGATAGACTGAGATTGAATATTTTCTCCAAAGGCTTGGATATGATTTTAGAACTTATTTTAAGAAATTTGGCTCCTATACCATCTAGACCTGTTGACTTTCTGACATCAAGATCTTGTAGTTCTTTGTTTATAAATTGACTTGTAATTTCAGGTATCTTGAAAGGGCATTTATCATTTGAATGCATTTCAATAAACTCATGCAATCTTATTTCATCTTCTTGTGATAAGGTTGAGCAATTTTGTGGAGCAGATTTGAAGATATCAATGAAGTAATCATTAAATACCTCAGCAGTTTCTAATGGGTCTGTGATTTGATTTCCATCTTCATCTTGAATATAATTAGTCTGGTGATTTGTAGATTTGCTTGATAATTGTTTAAGATTTTTCCACATTTCTTTTGCATTGTGTTTGTTGTTATTAATAGTTTCAGAGTAGTAATTTTTCTTGGAATTTGAGATTAGATTTTTCACTTTGTTTCTCCAATATTTATATTCATCATTGTTATTTGATTTCTTAGCTTTATCCCTTTGTTTAGTGGCATGAAGAATATCAGGGTTGTACCAGTCTGGGAGATGTGTGTGTTTTACACGTTTTCGTTTGAGAGGGGCTTGTGAATTTAAAACCTCATTAAATAAAGAGTTGAAGAAATCCAAAGCATCGTTTGGATCTTCAAATATCTCTATCACTGACCAAGGCTGCTGTTCAAGAGATTCCACAAAATCTGTTTCATTAAATTGTTTAACATTTCGATACTGTATTATCTGATGTAAAGGGTCTTTGGTAACTGTATTTGATATTTTGCGTGTGAAACAGATTGGGAAATGATCACTAATGGACAATTGAGGGATGGATATTTCAGAAATATTGTGAGAAAAATTTGTATAGAGATGATCTATAATGGTTTTAGATGTTTGAGTTACTCTGGTGGGTTTTTCAACAAGTTGATTTAAATTGAAACTGTTAGTAATATTATTCCAGCATGTGTTATTAGTAGATCGAGTAAGTGGGTCATAATTATAGTTAAAATCTCCAGTCAAAATGATTTCCTTGTTTTCAATATAAATTTTTTCTAGAATTTGTTCTAAATCCATATTCCAATTTGCATGTGATGATGGTGGCCTATAAATATATCCAAAAATAACCTTGTTAACACTCCAGCAGTCACATTTTTGCCTCAATCATCATCAAACTTGGTCAGGATGCTTATCTAGTTGATAGCTAGGATGAGTTCGAACATGGGTCATATCGGATTAAAAACTAGGTCACAAGAGCTAAAAATAGAAAAACCTTATTAACACTCTAGAGGTCACAATTTTGCCTCAATCATCATCAAACTTGGTCAGGATGTTTGTCTAGGTGATAGCTTGGATGAGTTTGAACATGGGTCATCTTGGATGAAAAAGTAGGTCACCGGAGCTAAAAATAGAAAAACCTTGTTAACACTCTAGCGGTCACATTTTGGCATCAATCATCATCAAACTTTGTCAGGAAGCTTGTCTAGGTGATAGCTCGGATGAGTTCGAACATGGGTCATCTCGGATGAAAAAGTAGGTCACTGGAGCTAAAAATAGAAAAACCTTGTTAACACTCTAGCGGTCACATTTTTGCATCAATCATCATCAAACTTGGTCAAGATGCTTGTCTAGGTGATAGCTTGGATGAGTTCGAACATGGGTAATCCTGGATGAAAAAATAGGTCACCTGAGCTAAAAATAGAAAAACCTTGTTAACACTCTAGAGGTCACATTTTTGCCTCAATCATCATCAAACTTGGTCAGGATGCTTGCCTAGGTGATAGCTCGGATAAGTTCGAACATGGGTCATCTCGGATGAAAAAGTAGGTCACCGGAGCTAAAAATAGAAAAACTTTGTTAACATACTAGCGGTCACATTTTTGCCTCAATCATCATCAAACTTGGTCAGGATGCTTGTCTAGGTGATAGCTTGCATGAGTTCGAACATGGGTCATATCAGATGAAAAAAGTAGGTCACCGGAGCTAAAAATAGAAAAACCTTGTTAACACTCCAGCGGTCACATTTTTGCCTCAATCATCATCAAACTTGGTCTGGATGCTTGTCTAGGTGATAGCTCGGATGAGTTCGAACATGGGTCATCTCGGATGAAAAACTAGGTCACTGGAGCTAAAAATAGAAAAACCTTGTTAACACTCCAGCGGTCACATTTTTGCCTCAATCATCATCAAACTTGGTCAGGATGCTTATCTAGTTGATAGATAGGATGAGTTCGAACATGGGTCATCTCGGATGAAAAACAAGGTCACGAGCTAAAAATAGAAAAACCTTGTTAACACTCTAGAGGTCACAATTTTGCCTCAATCATCATCAAACTTGGTCAGGATGTTTGTCTAGGTGATAGCTTGGATGAGTTCGAACATGGGTCATCTCGGATGAAAAAGTAGGTCACCGGAGCTAAAAAATAGAAAAACCTTGTTAACACTCTAGCGGTCACATTTGCATCAATCATCATCAAACTTTGGTCAGGAAGCTTGTCTAGGTGATAGCTCGGATGAGTTCGAACATGGGTCATCTTGGATGAAAAAGTAGGTCACAGGAGCTAAAAATAGAAAAACCTTGTTAACACTCTAGTGGTCACTTTTTACATCAAATCATCATGTAAATTGGTCAAGAATTTTGTCTTGATGATTTCTTGGGTCAAGTTCGAACATGGGTAATCCTGGATGAAAAACTAGGTCACCTGAGCCTAAAAATAGAAAAACCTTGTTAACACTCTAGTGGTCACATTTTTGCCTCAATCATCATCAAACTTGGTCAGGATGCTTGTCTAGTGATTGCTCGGATGAGTTCGAAATCGCATGTGAAAATTAGGTCACCGGAGCTAAAAATAGAAAAAATCTTGTTAACACTCTAGTTGCTACTGTTTTTGATCCAAGTATCCTGGAAATTTGGTCTGAAAGTTTGTTTTGATGATTTCTAGGTCAAGTTTGAATATGGGTCACCTGGGTAAAAAACTAGGTCACACTGCTCAAATATGGATAATCCTTGTTAACACTGTAGTGGTCACATTTTTGACTCACCTGTCATGAGACTTGGTCAGAATGCTTGTGTAGGTAATTGTTTGGATGAGTTTGATGTGTCAGGTGAGCGATCTAGGGCCATCATGGCCCTCTTGTTTGCATTAACAGACTTTTTATTTTCATTGATATCATTAATATGATTAACAATTGAATGTTGTTTCAGGTGTTGTTAACGTACTGGTAACTACACCACTGTGGGTTGTGAACACTCGTCTCAAGCTCCAAGGAATCAAATTTGAGACAGATGAATACAGGGGAGATAAACAAGTCAGATATAGTGGTATACTAGGTATGTACAGGAAGCAGAGACAATGAAATTTAATTAAAGTTATGTACAAGGAGGTGCATAAAAGGGAGACAATGAAAGACTGCACAGGCTTACAGTACAGAGAGGAATATCCAGCATGAGGGTGACTGTCTAATGTGGTAACATTTGATTAGGCCCTACAAAGTTACAGTTCAAGTTGCACAAGATCTCAATATTTTTTCTCTACTGGCAGCTAGTGATTGATTCTTTTTCTTTCATATTATGTTTCAATTATAATTTGTAAAGAAATTAAGAAAACTAATCTTTAGTACTCTATTTTCATGGAAACGATTGATTTTGCAAATGACAGAATGACACAACTCATTCATAACAGTTGAAGAATGACATTATTATCCAGCACTGATGTAAAGAAGTAGTCATATATGATTATACAGGAGAGAAAAGCTTGTCAGATAAACTCCTAAAATGTTGTATTAAATATGTTCTTTAAGGGGAAGGAGGGATTTCAGATATTACATCATACTTAAAAAGGGGAGATAATCAAGTCGGATATTTATATTTACATGTATGTTTTCTTTTACTAACAAGTCAGTGTGTATTGCTACAAAATGACAACTTGTGTACTAAGATGCTATGAATAATCAATTTATAAATAATTGTTTTATTTTGTCAATTTGTTTAGACTGTTTGTTAAAGATAGTGAAGACTGAAGGTATATTGAGTCTCTGGGCTGGTGTCAAACCTTCAGTGATACTTGCCAGTAATCCAGCCATTCAGTTCATGGTGTACGAAACAATCAAACGTTACTTCCAGAAAACTCTACATCAAACTGTAAGTCACAGTGTGTCTTTAATGTATTTGTATGATTTTAATCTTTTTGTAGTTACCAAATGGTCAAAGTTGCTGATTTACAATTATTTGTCCCATACCTATATTTGTCATATTCTGTTAGGAATGTTGAATTCTTTTAAATATGTAAAAACAATCGAATATATAGAGGGTTAACAGTTCTGCTTCAGTACCAATTTGAACACAAAGGGACACTTCTGGTTGGTCACCGTTAGTAAAGATTGATCTTTATGTGATGCGGCTTTAACCCGAGCATGCAATTTATGTAACTGAAATAGTAGAAATAATATTGTGAAGGTTATACTGTTTGTTTTATTTATTTGAAATTAAAGAAATTTATTTGCAAGAAAAAACTGTAACTGATGTGTTGGTCATATGAATTTTCTTAACTGACTCACAGGAAATGTTTTTGAATTGATTTTATTTGATTTGATTTTTATATGGACACGATACAAATAAATAGGATAGTGTTAATGTGTATTAATGATTAATATGTTTAATGTTTTCAGGAGTTGAGTGGATTTCTATATTTTATAATTGGTGCCATTGCAAAGACTGTTGCGACAATAATCACATACCCCTTGCAGATACTACAATCTAGACAGAGGGTGAGTAAATATTGTTGCTATAGCAACTACATTATGAACATGATGCGTGTCATAACTGTCCAACATTGATTTAACCATTAAACTCCTGGTGGAATCTGATTTTACACATGGGACCAGTGCAGACCAATTTGGGCTGTCTTGTCATGGTCTGCTTTGTTCACTATTTAGGAAATACTTATTTTGAAATTTTCTCAAAATATGATGAATGATGGTAGGATTTTTATTTAGATTGAAAGATGGGCAAGTCCATCTGATATGTTTAGTGTGGTGAGAGGTAAAATAGCATGTCAGCAGATTGTTTGTTCTTGATATTTTTAGTTATTAAATGGTTTTTGACATTTATTTCCAGCCCTTTGGCCATAATCATAATTAAATTACTATTTTAAAATGAGTGACCACAATTATCTTGGTAGAAAATCAAATAAATTATTTTGCAACTTTGCTAGGAGCAACAAAAAAATAGAATTGCATGCATTGTTAAAACCATATTTATATATTTTCAAGGTCATAGGATGTTCTGTGGCCATATTCTATGTACATTACATAAACTTAAATACAAAAATCAGGGTCAGTCAAAAATAACAAATCATTTCCTTGTAACTTGTTATAATTGTATAAACAAGTCTCTCATAGTCCTTTTAAGTAATCTCCCTTTGATTGTATGAGACAAATGATGTTATCCTGAACTTGGCAAATTGTGGGTTCATAGCTAAAAACAAACTTTTAGTGTTAAAGCTTCACTGTGCACTAATGGTGCACTACTTGCCACAACAGATTAGTTAACCGGTTGCACATATTTTCGAACCTGTAAAGTTTGTTTGTACCTACAATGTACATATAAGTTGGGGAAACCCAAATATTCTTAATTCCGGAGTTAGTCTATTCTAAAGCAAAGATTTTATGAGGCACACTCTTGTTCATTTATACAGTATTTGATGATCATGTAATGATATCATGTCCTGCTATATATCTATGTATAGGCTGGGTACAACAAAGAGAGCCAAAGGAAGAGTATGCGGGAAGCTTTCAAGGATATCTTAAGGTATATTTTGATACCAATGTTGTGTTTGATAAAAATATCTTTGCCCAGTGGCAACTGCTTCTACCTAGCCCTTGTGGTTGAGGGGTTGCCGTCAATCGTTTAGGCATAAGAATTGCAGCTACTGTTGATCACTTCGTGATCGTAAGGGGTAACCAAATGGGTTCAATATAGTGGAGTTTCTTTATCTCTAAGCTCAAGTTGATGAGGTGGTTTTGATCTCTGGTTTTGCTTAGGATGTTGTAACACCTGAGGTTAGCCAAAATCATCTTTCCTGTTTTGGTGCCATATGACTTATACTCATGGGTTCAAGTTTTCAGGCATGTGCCTGAAGTTCAGGTTTTGAAAGCACTCTTTTTTTTCTAGAAAAATGTAAAAACATTTAAAATATTTATAAATTCAGAGTTTTCAGGATTTTCGACATTTTGAACTTGCACCCATGATACTGTGTTGGTGTGCTGTAAAACCAAACAAACAAACTGCTTCTACCCATAGGATCAGTGCAGACCAAAATCAGCAGGCACTTCCATGCCATCTGATCATAGTTTGCTCTGTTTGCTATTCAGTGTGTACATATTTTGCTATTTTCCCTTAAAATATGATTGGTTAGTCTGGACTGAAAGATGTACAAGTCCATTTCAGAAATTTAGCTTGGTTATGGTAAATAGAATTTTGCTGCACCTCAGACAGGTCTTGTTTGAAGCAGTCTGCATGATAGTTTGCGGCGATATTACATGTCCGTATTTAATTGGGCCATCTTAAGAGATTGGTATGGTTTTAAGAGAATAATTTTGTGCAGCATATGGAGGGAATTATGCACATTAATTTTATGCTAAGCTTCCCAGAGGCCATCAAAAAACAGCAGCATAAATTAATGCACAAAACTAATATAAACCTTGATATTAAGATTGGCCCAATCTGACTAAAGCATTAGCAAACTTAAGCTTATGTTTTACATAGCACAGCATTATTAAGAAGTGTATTTTAATCAGATTGGGATAGGCCTAACCATCTCAACATCAATAAAGTCATGAATATGGGCCTTTATAATAGCATCTTAGTGTGAGAATTTAAACTTATTAGTACATTAGTACACAGCATGCATCATTCAATTTTTGTCAATAAAATGCATAACTAGTCTAGAAAAGAATGTAGAAATATTCATTGAATTTACTTTTTTAATTGTAACAACAACAAAATGTTACCATTGTTACCCAGAAGATAAAATGATGAAGTAAATGCATCAAATTTCTTCTTAAATCTTTATACTGACAAAATTATGTCACTGTTTCATGCCCATTACAAAAATAAGGCCCAGAGAAAATCTATAGATTATTACAGTAAATACATAAATACACCCACTAGTTAACTGTTTGTATGCCCTACAACTTAGTGGGTAGGGAGTGAACATAGATTTGCCATTGTCCATCTGTCCAACTGTCACACTATCTTTCTGTAGACTGATACAATATCCTTGTCCTGTAGACACATTTTTATGCCTTCAAAGGGAGGCATAATATAATGGCACCGTCTGTCTGTCCGTCCCCATTTCATTTGTGTCCGGACTGTAATTTTGTCATACATTAAGGGATTTTGAAATAACCTGTGCACAAATGTCTTCCACATCAAGACGATGTGTTGCGTCCAAGAACCACGTCCCTACCTCAAAGGTCAAGGTAACACTATCATTTTGAAGTTTCAAATTATCGCAATTAGAGTAAGTAGGTACACACATTGGTGTCCGGACTGTAACTTTGTCATGCATTGAATGATTTAAAAATAACTAGGCATAAATGTCTACCACATCAAGACAATTGTCGCCTCCAAGAATTACATCTCTACCTCAAAGGTCAAGGTCACACTAACATTTTGAAGTTTCACATTATCACAATTAGAATAAATAGGTACACACAATCATATATAGGCTGTAACTTTGCCATGCATGTCCGTTTGTCCATGTGTCCCCACTTACACCACAATCATGTCCAGACTGTAACTTTGTCATGCATTGAGGGATTTTGAAATAATTTGGCACAAATATCTATCTCGTAACAACAGTTTGTCGCATTCAGGAACCACATCCCTTCTTCAGAGGACAAGGTCACACTTATATTATGAAGGTTCATACTATCACTATTAGAGATTACAGGAACAATAATACAAAGAACAATATTCGGCAATTAGCTACTTTCATTCTCTTTTCTTTTCATAAAACCTGCATGCTTAAGAAACCTTTTCGGGGGCATTCGTCACTTGGGTGACAGCTCTTGTTAATTATCTATAAGTTTGTTAAGTATAAATTTGTATAGAATTTACTATACACCGTAATACCTAATACTGACTAGTTAGATTTTAAATTACAGACAATACGGGTTCGCGGGCTTGTACAAAGGATTAGAAGCTAAATTACTACAGACAGTGCTCACGGCAGCTCTCATGTTTCTGGTATATGAGAAGATCGCATTCGCAACCTTTAGACTCATGGGGCAGGAGTATTCCAAGACGTCCTAGTGCTTGGTTGTGACCTATGAATTACATTCCAACCTGGTATGTATTTTGTGTCACCTCTACGGAGTAGTGGTGACATATAGGGATCACTTCTCTGACTACTGTCTGTCTGATCGTCTGTCCATCCGTCCGTCACAAAACTTGTCCAGACTACTCCTCAGAAACTACTGGTGCAATTTCTTTCAAACTTTACAGGAATGATGAGTCTAGTTGTGCATATTGTCGGCATTTTCTGGTTCAATGATTTTTGTCAAGAGTTATGGCCCTTTAATGATTTTTTTATGCCCCCGGCAAATAGTGATTGAACCGTCCGTCCGTCTGTCCGTCCATCCGTCTGTCCGTATGACGTTAACCTAGAACGGCAAGTTGGATTTTTCTTAAGTTCTACATGTACCAATGGCTTCTAAGTTTACACACTTACTAATCAATACAAAGTACATGATCTGGGCAAGTTACATAACTCTGGCTTTCATATTTACCACAGTTATTGCCCCTTTTCAGCACTAAAAAAAATGAATAATGGTTAACCTAAAACGGCAAGTTGGAAATATCTTAAGTTATGTCTATAATAATGGCTTCATAATTACCACACTTACTTAATCAATACAAAGTACATGATATTCGCCAAGTTATTATAACTGTGTCATCCATATTTCCCAGTGTTATTTCCCTTTTTACACTTTGAAAATAGAGCCTTGTCTGGTTAACCTATTTCGGCAAGTTGAATTTTATCTTAAATTTCTCCTTATTGCTTAATTTCTTTAATGATATCTTTAATATTTTTAGTAGGTGGTATACCTTTTGATGGTCCTCTAATTTTTTGTGGAGTAAGCGGTCTCTAGGGTCAAGGTCACTGGTTTAAAAAATAAATATAAACATTTTTGCTCATACAGCCTTTATATTTTAGTTGATGTCTTAGTTTAATACAAACATGCCAAGGGGGGTCCTCCTTCTTTGGGTGTAGTAAAGGGTCATTTGGGTCAAGGTCAATGTTACCAATGTCATGGTCACCAATGTTAAAAATAGATTTTTACATTTTAGATTTTATTAAGTGACAGATATATTTTATATTTGGTAGGAAGATAACTTGCATGAAGTTGAATATTCAACTTCACAAGTCAGAGCAATGACTTGGCAACTTCTATTTTTCACAATTACAAAATGCCATGACTTTGTCAAGCTATATAACTTGTGTTTACAGTTTTTTGGCAATTTTTCTGTCCATAACTGAGTGAATGGGTAAACATTTTTTGAAATATTGCTACTGACAAGAATCTGAGCCGGGGTCATTTGTGTTTAACAAACACGTTCTTGTTTTTTTTAGGTTTGTCCCGACTACTTCTCTTATACCACTGAAGCAATTTCAATGAAACTTTATAGGATTGATCTGTAGTTCTAGAACTTGTGCATATTACCAGGTTTTCTGGTTGAATGATTTTTAGCAGAGTTATGAAATAACCCTTGAATAAAAAAGGTGTTTTTTTGTGTGTTGCCAGCTACACAGAATCTTGTCCAAACTACTTCTTAGAAACTGCTGGTGCAGTTTCATCCAAACTTTAACCAAGTCTTGTTGTGCATATCATCCATATATTTGGGTTCAATGAATTTTGTCAGTTTTATGGCCCTTTAATTATTTTTTATTTTCAAAATTTGTCAGGACTTCTCTTATACTACTAATGCAATTTCATTGAAACTTTACAGGATTGATGCGTAGCTCAATTACTTGGGCATATTACATGAGTTTCTGGTTGAATGATTTTTGGCAGAGTTATTGCCCTTGATTAAAAAGTTGTTAATAAAGTTTGTCTGAATACTCCTCTTTATAACACTAATGCAATTTCATTGAAAATTTACAGGATTGATAAGTAGCTCAAGTACTTGCGCATGTTACACAGGTTTTCTACTTGAATGATTTTTGGCAGATTTATGGCCCTTCACTGAAAAAGGTTGGGTTTTTCAGCTCACCAGAGCCGAAGGCTCAGGGTGAGCTATTAGTATCAAAGGGTGATACTCTGGCGTCCGGCGTCCGTCGTCATGCGTCAACAATCGTCTTCTTCTCTGAAACCGCTGGGCAGATTTACTTCAAATTTGGTCTGTAGCATCCTTGTGACAGTTACACTTGAATTTGCTCATGTAATTTCAATTGGCCCCTTTTAGGGGTCAACAGAGCTAAAAATAGAAAAACCTTTAAACATCTTCTACTACAGAAGTAATTGATGGATAATCACCAAACTTTGTCTGTAGCATTCTTTGATAGTCTTTTATCAAATTTGCTCATATTAATTTAATTGGCCCCTTTTAGGGGCCGCTAAAGCTAAAAATTAAAATACCTTTAAACATCTATATCTAGAGAACTAATTGACGGAATTTAACCGATGATCACCAAACTTTGTCTGTAGCATTCTTTGGTAGTCTTTTATCAAATTGCTCATATTAAATTGATTGGCCCCTTTTAGGGGTCTCTAGGGCTTAAAATAGAATAACCTTTAGACATCTTCTTCTATAGAACTAATAGATGGATGATCACCAAACTTTGTCTGTACCATTCTTAGGTAGTCTTTTATCAAGTTTGCTCATATTAATTTGATTGGCCCCTTTTAGGGGTCGCTAAAGCTAAAAATAGAAAAACATTTAAATGTCTTCTTCTACAGAACTAATTGATGGATGATCACCAAACTTTGTCTGTAGCATTCTTGCATAGTCTGATATCAAGTTTGCTCATATTTATGTGATTGGCCCCTTTTAGGGGCAGCTAAAGCTAAAAATAGAAATACCTTTAAACGTCTATTTCTACAGAACTAATTGATGGATGATCACCAAACTTTGTTTGTAGCATTCTTGGGTAGTCTTTTATCAAGATTGACCATATTAATTTGATTGGCCCCTTTTTTAGGGGTCTCTAGAGCTAAAAATAGAAAAACCTTTAAACATCTTCTTCTTTAGAACTAATTGATGAATGATCACCAAATTTTGTCTGTAGCATTCTTGGGTAGTCTTTTATCAACTTTGATTATATTAATTTGATTGGCCCCTTTTCGGGGCCGCTAAAGCTAAAAATAGAAATACCTTTAAACATCTATTTCTACAGAACTAATTGATGGATGATCACCAAACTTTGTATGTAGCATTATTATGTAGTCTTTTATCAAGTTTGCTCATATTAATTGGAATGGCGCTGTTAAAGCTAAAGCTTAAATGTCCCAGGTCATGGCATTTCTTCAAATTTTTGTTTAAACATATATATGCTCAAATTAAATATCAGAAAATATTGACAATGGATAATTTCCAACTCTGAAAAGCAGTTGTTTCTGGTGAGCGACTCAGGGCCCTCATGGCCCTCTTGTTTTGTGTTGCCAGCTATTTGTTTGGACTACTCTTCAGAAACTACTGGTGCATTTTCATCAAAACTTTACAGGAATGATCAATACTATGTCTAGTTGTGCATCTCATCAACACTTATATATTCATTGATTATTGTCAGAGTAATGTCCTTTTAATGATTTAAATTTTTAAAATCTGTTCGGACTGCTCTTCTTATACAACTTATGCAATTTTAATGAAACTTTACAAGATTTATACTTGCACATATAACAGGGGTTTTTGGGTTGAAGGATTTTCAGCCGAGTTATGTACCTTGAATAAAAAATGTGTGTTACCCTGTTAATGATTTTTGGGTCTCTTGCTAGTCATTAGTTGTAACATGTGATTGGCTTTCATGAGGCGACTTATGTCTTCACTAATGGTCCTTGTGTAAAATATAGTAAAATTTTGTATTTCCACCTCTCACTAAATAACGGCTATTCTTACATATTTTGAAGCATCTGTTTAAATATTAAAATACCATAATTATGTTGATTGTAATTGTGCAAGACTTTATATGTAAAGTTGACGATATTTTTACTATTCAAAACACTCTCACATATCTTGGGCTTCGCTGCACTGTATTTAAGTGGTTCTTAATTTGTAATTAAAAAATTCAACTTAATCAATCATTAAAAGTACCGTAGAATGCACGTCAGTTTCAATTTCCTTACTATTTTGTATCAATCAAAGTAATAGTTTTTCTGTATTAATATAGGAGATGAATATTCTCAGAAAATTGTAAAAAAGAAACCAACATATTTATATTTCACTTTGTTTACTGATAACTTCTGACCATGTTACATTTGTGTATGTTGAATAACAAATTCTTTCAAAGAGATATAAATTACAAGTAAAAATAACAAAATATGTTACGGTATATACAATCACCTAACAAAGAAGTAAACAATAAGTAACCAGATATTGAAATTATGTCATAATTATATAATCATGCACTCTTTAATCATTTCAATACAGACAGAGGTAAATGAAATATTACCTTAGCATTTTTTGAATAATAAATAACACCATACATTGACAATTAAATAAGAGAAACTAACAACCAAAAACAATTATATTTTATTAATAGCTCATAAAAATTACTTCTATTGATAAATGGTATAGCATGGGCACAACCTGTGTGCGGATATGAATTTTTTCCATTCACCTCATTTTATTTGACAAAACTTACTCAAAAAGCAAGACTTTGATAAATGTACATGTCATGCTAATGTTGTTATGATTGTTTTTTCCTAATGAAAATTTATCCTGTCTATGTTAAAATGTACTCCCATTTTTCATGTTACTTAAGTTTATAAAAGAAATTGTTTTATAAAAGTCATATTGTAAATGTGGAACAATTTCTTTACAGTTAAAGAGATATTGAAAAAAATACTTAACTTGAGCAGAACATGGTATGGTCAGATTAGATTTAACCGATAATGAAAAGCCTAATGCAACCAGTAGAGAGCCAGACCAGCCTGCACATCCATTCAGTTTGAGCATGCTCTCTTATGCTACTAGCTCAGATATTGAAATTCCTTAAACTTTACATGGAATGTTCAAAATTCAAAGTAAGGCGATTCAATTTGTGTGACACAAATCTGCATCTATAACCGTTTCTATACAGAAGAATTGATATTTCCTCAAATTATTATTATTCTAGAGTATGGTATGAAAAAAAACTAAAATATTTATAAGCATGTTCAGCTTGTGTAGGATGACCTGATATGACATTGGGAAGAAAGTTGTATGATAACTGTTTTGCTGGAGGTAACCTTAGTTTATCCTTATTTGATGACATAAGTTAAAAAAGAAGAAAGAAAAAACAACAGTAGATAACTACAAAAAATCCCAAACAGTCCTGAGATAAGCTTTCTTTTTTAACAAAGGATTAGATTTTAATAGAGAGAGTTAACGGAATGAGAATCAACTTGCAAAGGTTTTGTGTTGGAACAAGTTTTATGATATCTAATATAGAGAACAATAATGCAGATATGTTTTAACATTTATTAATATATATACATGTATAATCTTTTATAAACAGATTTACAAAAATATCAGCACATTTTCAATTAGTAAAGATAATGATATAAAAGATATTTCACATTTTATCAATAATTTGACAATACAAAACTGTTTACATACATACATTTTATTTTATATAACACAAGTATGAAAACATCTTTGGATAAAATTTTACTTGCATGATAGAGTCTTTAATATTTATCTGGTTAAACAGTATAAGCTAGACAGACATTCTTGATACCAGCAAGTCATTCAAAAATATTCAATTCAGATTTGTTAATAATAGATTTTTTTGTGTCTTAAAAAATTTTGGAAGGTAATTTTAAATCCTCATTAACATCATTTGATATCAGGCAAAAAAGACTAACTAAATATATTTCTGTATTTGTAAACACCATGTGACATATTCAAACTTAGTCTTTTTAATATACATTACTCATTATTTGCTAAATTACTTTGGTCTTTGGTAGCAGATTACATTCACAATTCTAATCACCTAAAAATATTTCTATGATATTTTAAGCAAGTTTCTATGAGATTTAAATGTAATATATACAAGGATTTTATGCAAAGGGCACAAACAGAAATGCGTAATTTCTTGATGTGCTGTTTCTAAAATTAGGTTACTCATGAGTTTTGTCATGCATAAATTCAGACTGATTTTGATGTATTTTAAAGCTTTATTACATTTTTACAAAATTTGATTTATATTCATAAGTAAATACTCTAATTGATACATAAATATATTTTACAATCTTAAGCTAAACAGTTTGATGCTTCAATTTATATAACATCATGTTGAATATAACTTTTTTGGAATGTAAAATGTGTATGTTAGAAATGATTTATACAAGATATTTACAATTACGCTCAGCCTGATAAACTGTATACATTGCATATATAAAATAATTTTCTGATATGTTAGAAGTATCACAGATGTTATCATAACCAGCTACATTTGATTATTTAATATTCAGTGAATAAAAGTATATCAACTTGCAATTGCTACTTAAATAGAATTAAAAGTCTGTGAAAGCTTTCTTGTATTTATAACTTCTTCTGAAATGTTTTCAAGACTTTAATACACAATGCAGTTGTTAGCATAATTTTTATGAGAAACAATTCCCATAATGTAAATATACATTTCATATCATAAAATGTATGTTGTCTTTTTGTACTTAATACCAACATTTGTCATACCTTGAAGCTTTCATTGTTCTCTGCAGCACCATATCTTTGGATGATAAAATTGAAGTGTCTACATTTGAAACATGTCATTTACACAAGAATACACAAGCTGGCACTGATTGAATGTGACACATGTAGGATTTCACAATCTCAGCTGTGCCTGTAGAACAATGATAACTTTAACCTTTGTCAGTATCAAACTTCACTATAATCATTTTTTGATGTTTCAGGTAAATGATCTGCACTATTCATAAATCCAGAATTCACATATTCATGTCCAGTGGCTCCTCTAGGAGCATTTGGTAGTGGTCTTTCTCCAATATCATTTGTATAATGTCCGTATGAGGATGGCATAGGTCTACTATCCACTCCTTTTTCATTTAAAGTTTGGTAACTGCCGGCAGATATTCTGCTTTGATTGTTGATATTTCCATTTGAGATTACAGTTACACTTGTATCAGCAGTAGATGCACCCTTCTCCACTTTCTCAGATAAATGTTCAGCTGTACCACTGGCATGAGGAACATCAGCTTTCATAGAGATTCTGACAGGTTCAGTCAAAGGTTTTTCTTTCTTGGGTTTGTTGCTGCGGAGAAGATTAAAGAGAATTGCTGTGATAAGCCCCAACAAGTAAAAACTCCTCCAAACTTTACCAAATAAAAACACCCAAACGGGGAGATTTTCTCTGGAGCCCCTTTTGTGGTTAAGAGGGGGTGTCAGTTAGGGATGGGAAAAAAGTTTTTTGACTTCATTTTTTGGGTTTTAGATCTTTTATATTCATTTTCAATTTTTAAACAAAGGGGAAAAAATGAAAATTTGTGTTTTCACGTTAAAATTTGGTTTTGAATTTTTTGTGATTTTGGGATCAAGACCCGGGGTAAGCCTTTTTTAGGTGCCTTGGGAATTTGATAAACATTTCTTTGTTTTTAAACCCGTAAACCCTGGGGTCCTGTCCATTTTTTACCCGTCATTTTAAAGAAAGTTTATGGCCCCCATTATTTATAAGAATTTCAAATTTTTTGGAAGAAGGGGGTGTTTTTAGGAATTTGGTTTTTGGGTTTTTTCCCGGTATAAATTGGGACAGTTTCGATGTTGCCTCCAGTGGGACACATTTCCAATTTTTTTTAAATTTTTGTAAAGTATTGGGTTTTCAAGGGAAATTTGGGGATGCACATTTTTACCTTTTCCTGACGGGCAACTGGGTTTTTGGGTTTCCTGTAAAATTTTTAAACCCCGTCATACAGCCAGGGTAAATCACAATTGCCCAAATTTAAAAAGGTTTTTCCCAAACCCAAAATCAGTTTTGGCTGACTGGAAAGTCCTCAATGTGCATTGATCAAATTTTGTATTCTTTTTTTTTTATTTAATAGTTTGTAAAAGTGCTCTTTTGGACCCAAAAAAATGTCTTTGTTTTTAAAAAGGGAAACTTATTGTCAGCAATATGTAAAAATTTGTTATTCCATTTGTTTTTCTTAAAAGGCTCTAATTCAGGTAATTATATTTCAATTATCCGTGTTTGTCTACTTCAAGAACTAACAAATTTGTAAGTGTTGATAAATCCATCCAGAATTGAGAAATATTCAGTTTGTTGTTTTGGAGACTAAGCGTCTCTAAAGATGTTTCTATTCCAGTAAATGCATTATTCTGGATATCTAGATAATCAATACTCTGCTGATCATGAAGTCGAAGTTCAACCAAAGATGGAGAGTTTTTGAAGGTTTGTGCTGTAACAGTTCTTATGTTATTATAAGCCAGATCAAGTGTATGAAGACTTACAAGACCAGAAAACATGTCTTTGTTGATACTTGTCAGTCCAATGTCTTGGCACTGTAAATATGCTAAAGCTGGTGTCTTGCTAAATATTTCACTGGGAAGATCTCTTAAATTAAAGTTATATCCAATATTTAAGTGACTTAAAGCAGGCCAGTTTTCGTTTCTAAGAAATTCAAGGCTCAGTTTATTATTCAAATTATTATTATCTATTTCAAGGAATTCCACACTGTCCGTTACTCCACTAAAGGTTCTTTGATCAATTGTGTTCAGATGTATATTGTTGCGTATTTTAATGTCCTTGAGTAGTGACATTGGTGTGAAAGAATCTCCATCTATAGATGTTATACCAATATCCATTATATCTAATGAGGTTAATTTTAAAAACTTTTGAATAGCTGGGACTGGAAGAATAGTTATGTTCCTTAATGCTATTAACTTGAGTTCCTTCAAATCTTTCATTACACCGAAGATGTCTGCATTGATAGATTTAAGGTTTTTCCATTTTTTGATTGTTAGTGATTCTAGATATGGAAATGGAAAAACAATTGGTGCATCAATGGATGTATCTCCATATTTTTCAAGATGTAGAGTTTTAAGTTGTTCATCAAGAGCAGCAAGGGCTTGGTCAGGCATTCCATTTGACCCATCTCCTTCTAGTGATATTGATTCTATTTCTGGTGCTAAACCTTCAAATGCATAATTGTCGATCAAGGTTACTGGATTGTTTAACAGATCTATTTTCTTTACTTTCAAGTTAGCAAAGGCCTTAGCACCTATCTGTCGAATATTGTTACAACCAGCAAATGGCTGGCAAGTTCCAGTTTCTTCAAATGAAGTAAATCTGATTTCATCATACACCTGATTTGTGTTGGTAAATGTTGGTATAGCTGTTAAGTTTTTGTATCTACAGTTTATTATGGTTTTCCCATCTAACTGGAAACAGTCACATCTAGTTGTTGGAGATGTACATGACTGAGAAATCACTGCTGTTGACAGTAACATCACCATAAAAACAATTCTCATAATATTCTCCATAATTTATGACCTGAGACATTAAACAAATATGCATGAAATAAAACAGACAAGAAACTTCAAAAAAAATATAAAAGAATTATTTTACTGTAAGATATGTAATAGATTCAGTCAAGCTTTTTGCTTACCTATACGATATGGTAATTATTCTGCTATTTAAATTTTACTGTTATAAACCAAAATAGAGGGCACATCAAAACTGTAAAAAAATATTAGATAGATGATATTAGTGCTTAATTACCTTTACTTGTTTTCTTGATGACTTACAGTACAGATATCGAGGAATATGCAAAATCCTCCGAGGATCGAGGAAAATACTCGCAACTCCGCGAGAGTATTTGCCCATAAAAACGAGTGACTCCGCGTGAGAAACGTGTGATGAGAGTGACTCCGAGACGAAAATAAAAGCGCGTGACTCCGAGAGAGAATTACCGCGTAACTCCGTGTCGGTGTCTAGCTGGTGTAAATAAATGCAAAGTGCAATCTCATTTTATATTTAATTTAATTCTTTAGATTACCATTCGAAAAATAAAGATGATTTTTACGGTTGTTGTTTTCAATTTACCCTGAAACAATTGAAAGGTACATTTGATTAGAAAAAAATCACTCCGTAAGCGTCATCAGTTCTCAATTTATTTTTATCCCGATTAATTAGGTCAGTAGCAATAACCACAGGAACCCGAAATTCTATCAAAAACAAAAAGCGATTAAAAAATCCATATAATAACGGCCAACATTTTTTTTTATACTTCTTTAAGAAATGAATTAATTATATAAACTTCTTAATCTTAAATGTTTCTAAATGCATCAAATACCGATAACGTGCCGTTCTAATTTATTTCAGGTGCCAAATATTGTGTTGTGTTTATTTTTTTCAATGTGGAAAATGAGTTTCGATCTTCATAATATTTTAATCATTGATAACATGTGCACATCAAAAAAATTGACTTTCCCAACTTTTATATTGGTTTGTATAGTTTTAAAAATTGTCATGATGTGCATGTACGTTTCTTCATAATCCATTGTTTACATGTATTTTAGTTACGTGTCAACCTGTCACATCCGCCGTTTTAATTTGAAGACACTTGATTTATATATAATTTTTGAGAATTAACATTAACTTAATCGTTTCTAAATAAAGCTGCATAAAAATTAGTAATATATTGTTGTAATTTTATTCCAAGAATATCTCCGAAAATCTGTTATCAAAGTCATATGTAGACGTATGTCGATATTGATATCAAAAGTCAATTGTCTTGTGATGATCATTAATAAATTAAGATTTTTGTTTTTTATTTCAGGCATTATGGAGGAATACAAGAGTTATAGAGGTGTTAACAAGTTGACAGAGGCCGTTCAACTTACCTAGCGCACTGCTCCCGTAATTCATTCATCTGTAATCAGCATTACACAGATTGACAAAAAATAAAAACAGCAAAGAATAAAATGATCATTTTATTTGTCTTTTTGTTTTATTTGTTTATGGTTTGTACATCATCTATATCATGTCATTTTATAAAAATAAAAAACAGTTTTGACAAAGATTAAACTACTTCCGATTTCACGTACATGTACTGTTCATATGATAGACGATAAAACAATATTTTTATAATAGCATATGAACATATTTGATCGTCACAGCAAGCGGGCATGCGTTGTACATGTACGTATGTGGATTGAAAAAGACCGCCATGCCTTTAAAAAATCACTGCCAATCTCAATGTTCTTGTTTTATAATTCATGGTTTTATTTTTGAGACGACGCAGTGCCTGTTGTTTTCCCCCTGCAAACATCGGTAGAATTTCATAAATGAATTCCTTAATGTTGTCCTTTCTTGTGCTGCCAACATCGGTAGAATTGCCTAGCAGATCGAACTTCTTAACTCTGTTCTATATTGTTCTGAAAGCAATAGTAAAATAAATTTAAACATTAATGTTAAAAGCAGGACTGTACATGCCGACATAGGGTGTCGCTGTTTTGGCTAGTGCATTGTATGGAATGATGTATTATATCTCGTATTTCACGGATTTTTTATCAACCAACAATTAAAAGGAGACGTACATGTACTTCACATGGAAATCAGTTTGGTATCATTTATGTAACTGGTAAATTTAGTAAATACTCATTGCCCTAAAAAAATATCTGGAGCCCTGCAAATTTATCTAAAAGCCTGACTTAAAAGTATAAAATTACTTTCCAAGGCAGATATTTTGTAGACTGTCTTAAAGAAAATGTTGTTTTTTTATTCAGTTCAGGTACAAAGTATAATTTCCCTTACGATAGTATGTCAATGGAATGAATCGACCTAAGCACGTGGTTGTTTTGCCATGTATTTCCTTTTTTTTTCTTCTTCTTTTTTTGCTTACATAATAATTATAAATTTGTATAAACAATGCAAAAAAGAAGCTCGTCTATATTTTCTTATTTTATAATACTAAATTAAATAGGTTTTTGACACTGAGCGTTACGGGAATTGCGGGAAATCATCGGTTATTCTTTCCTTTAATTAATTAATGAATCAAGTGTGTCTACTTTCGTTTTCACTTGTGATACTTTACATCAACGAAGAATTTTCGACAACATTGTTATTTTGAATGAATAATACATGCGTTGAAGGATTTTATTTTAGAGGTAGGGCATTATATTAATTAATAAATAAATAAAGCATACGTGTACCAAATCAGTCTTATTTTCTCGGAGTCACTCTTTTTGACTCGGAGATTCACGGAGTCCCGCGGACAAAATTGTCACTCGTTTTTGTCTCGGAGTCACTCTTTTTCACCCGAGAAATTTATAATCCACTCGGAGTCACGCTTTTTGAGATTACTCGATACTCGCAGAAATTTGCATATTCCTCGATATCTGTACTGTATTGATTAATTATAACAATATGTTATCCATTTAAAAATTTGAATTTCAAATATTTCACTTCATGCCTTTATTGCATGACTTTATAAATCTGTCTAGGTATTTACCTTGGTAGGCTACATGCTATTTAATCAATTGAAGAATTTACAGCTCCTTCTATTTAATTTATACTTTGAAATTTCTTCATGACACACTATAAACAATTGTAAACATTGATCAATACAGCTTGAATACGCTATTCCTTTCATTATCTGTTTACATCAATATTGACAAATAGAGGTGTCGATAATTCTTATATAAAAGCATATTATTTATCGCCTTTAAATCTTTAATCACCAAAATAATTATTCATTTTAACTGTTCAGCGTATTAGCGTAGTGGTTGAGTGTTGGCTTCCTAAGTGTAAAGACCCTGGTTCGATTACTGGAAAAGGCATTATATATTATATATTCTTATATATATTTTTTTTTTTTTCAAAGATCTGGATTTAAGTTCCTCGTGAATTTTGTTCATACAATACTTTCCGGAATTTGAGAACATTTAGTTTTACAAACATTCGCTTCCGACCGGTAAGTTAGAGGCAACCCGCACAGGAAGATATTTGAATACCGGGTATATAAATATACAATTGAGCCAAAATTGTAAAAAATGTAGCAAATTGAATTCAGAGTTTTAAATAGCATTAAATTGACAATACTATTCAATTTGTTCAATGACTGTTTAAATCAAATACATTCAATTTTGCTATTTAACCGTTGAAAGTTTAACTTAAAATTGTACAAAATTGTAGATCACAGGTTTATAAGAGAATATGAAAATGTTTTTTGAAAGTAAAAAACATACAAATACAAAAGATATTGCACAATTGCAGATTTGAACTCGGAAAAAAAATCTAAACTTTCTCCTCATAATCTGAACTCTCTAACAACGACGCTACTCAGCTTTACGTTTCCATATCTACTTTTTATTCTTCTATATTGCAATAAAAATGCAAAGTGTAATAACTGAATAACTTGCACAACCCATTATATCATAATGGTATGACCGATTAATGTAAACGTTATCGTCTGTCCGTACGTCCTGAAATCTTAAACCTCTTAAACCGGATGGCAGATTTTGCTTAAACTTCCAGGGATGAACAACCTTAATGTGTAGATGGTAGTAAAGGAAGGAATTTTTGCTGCGACCAAATTTAACAGAATTATGGCCCTTTGTTGATTTTTTCACTATATGCTATGTAGAAATTTTGTGAATGCAACTCCTCTTAAACCGGATGGCAGATTTTGCTTAAACTTCCAGGGATGAACAACCTTAATGTGTAGATGGTAGTAAAGGAAGGAATTTTTGCTGTGACCAAATTTAACAGAATTATGGCCCTTTGTTGATTTTTTCACTTTATACCATATAGAAATTTTGTGAACGCAACTCCTCTTAAACCGGATGGCAGATTTTGCTTAAACTTCCAGGGATGAACAACCTTAATGTGTAGATGGAAGTAAAGGAAGGAATTTTTGCTGCGACCAAATTTAACAGAATTATGGCCCTTTGTTGATTTTTTCACTATATACCATATAGAAATTTTGTGAACGCAACTCCTCTTAAACCGGATGGCAGATTTTAATAAAAAGTTCCACATAAAAATCTTACATACAGATATGCATGCTCTTGTTTACGAGCACATCTGCACAGTGGGGGCATCCGTGTCCTTTGGACACAGTTCTAGTTCTTATTAAAAAATCAGGTTTTTATACGCCCGTTTGAAAAACGGGTCCTATTATAATTTTACCCCTGGCGGGCGGGCGGACAGCTGGTCAAACTGGCGGAGGTAGGGGTGGCTGGGTGGTTTGAAAAACGTGTCATATTATAGTTTTCCCCCTTGCGGGCTGACGGACTGGCTGATGGGTGGATTGCGTCCAATTTTTGTCCGCAGCATATCTCCTACACTCTTGGAGGAATTTTAATGTTACTTCATTGAAATGTTCACCAGTATGAATGCCATATCGGACGCATGAAGTATTTTTTCACTTTAGAAGGGGCTCCTGTACAGTGCAGTGGCAGTTTACAATGAAAAATAGCACTTTAAATGAAAAAGTACTGTTTGAATTCAAATACCTTCCAACTTAAAATAGTTTTCAGAAAATAACTGTAGAATTGTTCCAAAATTGAAAAATTACAGGCACTGTTTGATTGAACCTTTTAAAACTTGTTGTCTTTTTTTTCATTAGTTTTATTAACATTTTATTTGTCAAACTTCATTTGTGTAAACTATATTCTATTTATTTTTTTTGAGAAAACTTATTGATGGGTAACTTTGAGTACTATGGGATAAATTATATAACAGTTTTCTCTGTATTTCAGGATTACTTTTCTCGGAGGAAGAGCCAATTTAAGGAGTATAACAGCGTTACGATTGTTTATGACACATTATTACAGCGGCGGAATAATTTTCTAGTGATAACTGAAAGTGCGACCCTTTACTTTTTACTCATTTACAATCAAAACAGTTGTTTTTTTTCATTTCAGACAAGTTTAAATATACTATGACTCCATTTTAACCTCGTGTTTATAAGAGATTTGTTTTATGTAGTAACAAAACATGCATAATGTATGTATATTATCAGATATATTTTTACATATTTTTAAAATTATTTTTATGATATTAGAATGGAGTGAGTATATATGTATGATATATTTGTATCAGAGAATATAAAAAATGTATTCAAAATCAACTGACTTCTTTTTCATTAGCTTACCTGATCACAATGTGCTCTTGGTGGGCTTTTGTGATACCCCTCTGCTAACAATTTGTATTAAACAACAGAAACCAATGACTGGATATGAGAAAAACCACGCAGGAATCCTATTAAAGTTGTTCAGATGGTTATGGTCAGTTGCATAAGTAGGTCAAAGGGCAAAAAAGGGGGTTTAAAATTCAAATTAAAGAATTCATCTTGTCTTAAGATATAAAGCACAGGGCTTTGGTATGTGGTACATGTATATAGCATCATCTAGAGATCTTTTACTCGAAAGATATCTGTATTGTCAAAATAAGCCCCAGTGGATAGAGCTTAGATATTTTGCATGAAACCTCTTTTTCATAAATACCTACCAAGAAATAGTCTTCTCTGAAAGCCCTCAGACTAGAGCATATATATTTGGCATGAAAAATCATTTTATGTACCTTTACATGGTTGCTGAAATTATATCTTTGGTCAGACCAGCTCGGACCATTGTCTAGGATTATTCACGTTATTGTTCTTGAGTCAAATCTGGCTCCTCCCTAGGGATCATTGGTTTTTCTTCTTTAATGCTTCTTCTATAAACCCCATAGGCATACAGTCCTAAGATTTGGTGTGGAAGTTAGTCATGAATAGTAGATGATACCTGTTGATTTTAGTCAGTTTGTCTAAGGTCAAGATCACATTGGCCTTAACATTCACCTCGTAACTAAAGCTAAAAGCTTTATCATAATCTTACCATAGGTGCGTGTTTTCGGGACAATGGGCCCCTAGGTGAAGGGCAATAACTAGTGTTAATATTTAACATTCCACATTGAATACAGGTCAATTTTGTCAGCAGACAGTAAATGATAATGATGTTAACCCTTAACCTGTTGGATGTGTGTTATGTTTGAGGGGTTATACTATTAAAATAATGAAATTAAAACATACGGCCTGGCCAGCAATGGAGCTGGCTGGCGCTGTTATATTCCATCTGGCATAAACAAGTCCGTATTGCTGCGTGCATTCCAAGAATAAAGGTAGATTATCCATTGTAAACGTAAGTGAAATGAATTAGCTAGCAATAAAAGACTCTTTAAGGCCAAACGTTAATATATTAGCTGATGAAAGAAGAACGTCTCAAAGAATTTGTTTTTCTCAGTATGGCCCAGCTGGGTCTTTCAAACAAAATTTATATAAAAAAATTAAGCATTTTTTCCCGTTGGTGTATGTAGTCACAGGAAAACACATGAGAAAAACATGGATACATGCAAGGTTTAAAACCTGCCGGTATATTTCTGAAGAACTTGAAAAGATTTTAAAACCTACAACACATGTTGATAAAATAGAAGCGGTTAAAGTTCTTGAAAGAAGACGCATTTAACGATATTAGACTGAAGCATCTAAACTCGATATGACCTAGCTTAGCTGACCAAACCGCATTTGCCTTCTTTGACAGTGGTGAACCGGACTGCTTCAACTGATAAGTCTTGTCATTTTTATTCATAATTTAATAGTCAATCAGAAACATAGCACAAGATATTGTGTCGTTTTTGTTTCATTTTAGCATTTTTATGTATTTAAATGTACCGGTAAAGATCTTCTAATAGAAAGAAAAAGACTCATGAATTGATTGTTAAAATGTAATAATAAAAACATCATATGTTTTAGAACATATGCCTCCGTGTTTATCCAGTAACCCAGTCCCAGGAATTAGAAAATAATTTCCAAACCTCCGAGCAAGAACAACCATTCTACAACTTATACGCTTTCGAGTAACTGATGCTGGGAGGTCCAGTGTTATTTCATTGGAACAAACATCCTGTTTACGAAACCGTCAAAGAAATTATAGAATTACATAAGTTAATTTTTTTACGTGAGATTAAAGACTCTTAGCCATCATTTGACAATTCCAAGCATTACAGGCCTTATCAATTTAACAACCCTGAATCCGCCAGCGACTACTGAATTTACTACCCAAGCGATCAGCACAGGGCCGAGATCAACCGGCTGATCATGGTTGGCACTGCTTGTTATTCAGGCAGTACATAATTTTGATTTTTCTCCTAAATATAATGGTTTTGTCCGAAACGAATTATGGTTTTGTCCAGCTTGAAAGGTGGACAAGTCCATTGAAGATATTTAACGTGGAAAGGGTCATTATTCACATTTAGTCATTTAAATACAGGGAACATTGTTTGGTTAAAAATGATAAACAAAGTCTGACATGTATTGTTTAGGTTTAGTTTATTATTGAAGGAATATTATTTATAAACACCGTTCAATTGTTTTATTTGATATTTTGTCATCGCTTCAAACTTTTTAAATACATGTATTCAGTTTATAAACATCACACTAAATTTACATACATATATTTAGTTTATATACATGTTATCTTCATCTTTCTCATCTTGCTTTTCTTTATCCTGAAATAAAAACAATATTAATAAGACCTGGTGTCTATATGAATTTGTGTAATGGCCTCTTTTCGCTGTCCATTGTAATTGTTTAAAGGGGCAAAATTTAAAATTTTCAGAACAAATTTTTTTTTAAGGGCTTAAGAAAAGGGCAGGGTTTTTATATTTTTTAAAAATAAGGGTTTTTTAGAGAAAATTTTTGGATTTTTGGGAAACCCTGAAAAAAGTAGCGATAAAAGTGAAATAATTTGTAATGAAGTAGCAAAGTGTAAACAAAGTAGTATTTTGACTTCCATACAAAATACATATTTACTGTAGCTGTACTTTTTTGTTCAAAAAGCTGTAGATGAAAAAGATGGTTCCGGTAATTTGGCAATGAGTTATTTTTTGGATAGTTCACCGAAATTTAATCGTTTTTTTTTTTTTTATTTTTTTTTTAATTTTTTTTTTTTGTTTTTTTTCGAAATTGAAAAAAAAGCATTTCTGAAAATGATCCTTTAAGTCTACTTAATGATAAAATAGTAAGATTTAAGTAGCAGACAAAGCGAATATCAAGAGTCCTGCTGTACTACTAGATGGGAGTGGTGTGGCTCTATTTTAAAAATTTTGACCACAATGGCCACAAGAATAAACAATTATCGGCAACTATATACAAATGGCCAAATGAATGAATAATTATCGGCAACTACATGCCTTTTTTAATTAACAAAATAATTATGACGACAATGGAACTAAAATTCTTTCTATTACTGTCTTGTGTTTTGCATCACAAATTTGTCATAATATAAATCTTTCAGAGAGAAGTATCGTTTGTCGTGATCGGTTAAAGGCCAGTTAATCAAGGGCTATTTCAGTCACAGAATGGTTGCCGCAAGTTTCTTTTAATAACAGCTAATATCTCAGGAAAAAATCATTAGAAACGAAGATATATATGACATCACAGGTATACGGCTTATTTACCTTGCCAATAACGGTCAAATTAGTAACTTGGACAGGAATTTTGTTCATTTTGTTATTGATGATCAAGGGGATATTTTACAAAGATACAAAGATAATTTGACATTACTGGCTAGGCAATTGTACCCTAACGCCTGTGTTTGACATTAGAGCATTGCCGTTAGGAATGTGCCCGACCAACGCAAGTCATGAAAGAAATAACTCTGTACATGTACATGTACTTAGATAGACGTTAACATAATAAGACAAGCACTATTTTGGAAATATTGTTCATGTTTCTTTCTTGATTTTGTCGCACAGATATTGAATCATTCCGTTTGTTTGGTTTATTCAGAAAAGTTCATGGGAGATGACATTTTATGCGGACGATAAACTAATACGACAAGTACTTACTTTTTACACTTCATAAATTTCTTTTTACAGACACACTCTTGACAACCCATCGGCGTGCTCCATTTTGACCCCGGCAAAATGTGAAAACCTCTGAAGTCGCAATAAGTCCTTTTTTGCTTTGTGTACTCTGAAATAAAACATTCGGATTATTTTCATGCGAATCGTCAGAACAAATGATCTATATTCTACAGAATGTTTTACTATTGATATGTATAAATTATATTTTATCCTAAATATTGTCAATTTGAAATTTAAATTATTCGTATTATTTAAATGTTTCTTGTTATAAAGTGGTGTCTTTAAATAAAATAATAACAGTCGTTATATAAAAATAATATTTTAATGGCCCATGAAGCCCTAAAAATGTTTAAAAAAGAACAAAACAACAACAAAGAATAAGAAAGAGAGACTCGAGTCCCAAATAGCTGAATCACTTTTTGCTTGTTTTGCATTTTGATTTTACTATTATAGTGATTTAGCTTTTTGTGTGTAAGTCAAAACACCATTTAATTTACGTTTTGCTACTTTTATAACCAATCATTTTACAACTATTTTATTTTCTACAGAAGGTTAGCACTTAACATGTTCCGAATCCACTACATATAAAATAATTATAACAAAAATGTTTGCCCTTTCTGCAGAATACAAAAAACATATTTGTGAGGCATAATGTGTCTTTAAACATTTCATGTATTTGATAAAACTATGATAAACTAAACAATATATTCTTATATCTTTAACATATGTATTACACGCCGCAATAAAACTTACATGTGTCACGATTCACGAGATCTAAAGTTTAAAGTGAAGCGTCGGGAGCAAGAATGACGTTTAAAATGACGAAATAATAAGCGTTGGCGTCATTTTTGAAAATTCTTTATTTCAAATAAGAGTGATATTTAAAATATTCTAAGATATTCGTTTCACATAGTAGATAAGTTTTGCCATATACATGCATATTCGAACAGAGAAACAAAATGGCAAATAGAAAGTTGTTAAAAATAGCTGAAAAAGAAAACCTTACCTGTTAAAAACGTTTTAGCTTTAACCTTTTTGCCAGAAACGCCATTACATGATAGCAAAACTGCAACAATTAGAGACAATGCTATGATAACGGCGTTACGCATTGTTGACAAATGTTTTACTTCTTCCGCGCACAACACAATGCTTACAAACTTCAGAATAAAAGAAACATATGTGACGGCTATTTAGATTTATTAGTTAAAGAGAAAAACATATTGCGGTGATTAATGAATATATAATGAGGGAATTATCATAAAATAACGCGCCTTCAATTGACGCATGTATGTGACGTCATAATTCTTTTTATTATTCTTTAAACTATGTACTTTGACAAAAGAAAAGTCGAAATAAAAGAACACGCGTGTCAAATTGTCACCATTGAGGAATGGAATGAGACGGCTCGGGGGTGGGTAGGGGTTCATCACTAAAAAAAAGTAATGCAAAGGGTTGCAGACGTTTTCATATTGCAGTGTCAGAAAGAATCAATCTGTGTTAGTGTGCAGGCGTTGTCGGACATTCACCTTGAAGACGCATTAAAGAATGGCACGTCAACATTGACAAGAATTTGTTTCATTTTTGCAACATCGAATACTACGTTCAAATAACATGATCTTAGAATATATTCACCATGGCTGTACTGCAACAAAATAAAACATGCAGTAAATTAAAAGAATTGTTAACAGGAAAATAAGTATTATGAAGTCAATCAATGACTCATGTCGCAATGAAATCGTTCTGATATTGATTTATAAATACGGCAAAATGTTTTTCAAAAACATAGAACTATTACTATACAAGTTTTCTAGCTGAATAACTAAATAACGTGACATTATGATGAGAGGCAAAACATTCTTACTCAGCATATGTAAGCAGCACTAAATCGTGTCAAGAAAAAAATTGTATAAAGTTTTGTCAACCATCAAACATTCAAGAATATTTCGTAAAATGCCTTGTTTTTGCAACTACTCACACAAGTCCGGTAAAGTTCGACATTTTTGTTCGTGTAAATTCGGCATACTTCGTCGCGTAAATATATATATGATATTTTATCATGAAATTTATTTTGCTCCTTGTCCATGTTGCCGTTAAGACTGAACGGGTGTGCAGGCAGACTTGCTTCTTTACTGGTCACTTCCCGTTCTAGCATTTTAACGGGTTAAAGTAGAAAATTAGATAAATGGGCAACAGAATCACTGAATGGGGGAGAAAATCCTTGATATGAAACAAAAAATGAAATCGTCTTTAATGTCTGAAACCATCCTTTCATGGCGTGGAACTCTTGATGTCCAAGGAAAACTATATTTTTTATGATTCGCGTGTATTTTGACAGTTTTTGCTTACCATACTTTAAACAGATAGTATAAACAAATCTGTTACACTTAATCTTATTATACGGACAAAACATAAAAAGCAAATGTTATGAACATAATAATATTCATAAACTAGCAAAACGTATTGGTAAATCTATGACACCAACCTAATAATGTGACAACATATGTTTGGATAAGCTTTCTTCGAAATTAGAACCGCCTGAACGAGAAGAGAAAGGTTCGCTTTTAGACAAAATTGTGTTGTTAAATTTAAACAATAAAATGCTTCCCTCAATCCAAATTTCATTAATTTTATTGTTCAGTTTTATACTGAAAGTACAGGGTGGAAGTTACTGGAGTGAAATGCATCAGAAAACACGTAAGTTTATTTTTTTTCTGTCATTAACATAAAGAAAACGTTTGTTGTCGATATTTGTATGTATACATATATCAATGAAATTGGAATTAAAATATTATTCAAATTTTTGAAGAAAAAAAATGTAAATATTCACTCACGAATTTTATTGAATATTTGATTACACTATATTTAACATTGTTCATTCGAAGTAATTATAAAACTGAAAGGAATTAAGGCAGAATGTAAACTTTATTTGACTTTCACCCGTTTACTCAATATATGCCATTGGATGGGCGTTATGTCACTTTAACGTAAAAAAGCGTGCGATTTAAAAATATTACATATACTTTAGGAGATGTAAAAAAAGGAAGGAAAGTGTACAAAGAAGTGATGGATTATTGTGAAACAAGAACACCAGAGGGTATGTCTAGCGGACTGATGCTGTTCAAAGGCTCCCATGTGAAGTTTAGGAATTGCTATGTTTGTGATTGCGGTGACGATGGCCTCACTTGTAAAACGTAAGTAACAAATCATGTTTAGGTTATATGACGTATCCATATATTAAATAATATGTGTAATGAATATCTTAATTGCTTATATCTAACATTATATAATTAAACTTTAAATGATTTATGTTACAAAGCCGTTGAAGATCTATGAAATGCTAAAATCTTGCATATTTAATTTACTTTTTGTTCATATCCTAGTGTTACTTTCCATTTTATTTTATATAGTAGTTGTTTTGTCACTAAGTTGTGAACGTGAAACTAGATTCGCAATCATAGGAAACATAATTATTTAGTTCTGGTCTGAGAACAACAGACAAAAATCCGAGTTTTTCTCCACATCAATCTGATCACAAGAAAGCTTAAACGTGGAACCTTGCAGTAGTTAATACGTTCTACAGTGGTTATACATGTATGCATGCTATATAACTGGGCAGAAACAGCTATACACTTTTATTTAACTTTTTGGGGGGATGGTGGGGGGTGGGGTAAAGGTCGCACAAACACAGTAGAGGTTATATGGCGACTTACAGCTTTACTGATGAAAATAATTCATTCTAATTAAAATTTAAAATATTTCATGACTTTGAAGATAAACGTCATTATTGTCCAATGAAAATTGTTGTCCAATGATAACGAACGTTACAAAAATGTAGTATCATAAACTTAACAATGTGTTTATAGATGTTTTTACAAGAACGCCTTTTTCTTGTGGGATTTTACAGGTCGTACGGCTTGATGCTATTCGGGCACATGCAATGCAAAACAGTGATAGACGACTGCGAGCCGTTACTAGTGGATAAATACCACAACAATCTAAGGTGTTATTCGAAACTTCCACTTGATAAACCCGTTCCGAAAACAGGGTATCATGAAATAAAGGTTGGCAATATTTTTGGATGATACTGATTTCATATGTACCTGAAAATAAAAAAATAAATCATAGTTTTTATGAGTGGATATTGTTTTCTTTTTCTCCTTTTCCTAATTTCTGGGATTACCAAAACGTTATTTTTATAAACAACATTTTATCACATGACTATATACATGTATACATGCGGTTAATATAACAAGAGCCCCACGCCCGCCTTTTCTTACTTCTAAGGCCGAACAGATTGAAAAAAGAATATTGCAGTAAAGACTGCTACTAGAAAACATAACTTTCTTGAACAAAGTATAATTCAATTTTCATATTTAACTTTGACGGTCAGGTCACATTTGAATAAATCATCATTGCCAGTTTTGTATTAGGTGTTCTTTTGTCCAAGTATAACTCAAACCTATAAATAAATAACAAGGAAATGACAATTTAAGAAGGTCAAGGTATATTGAAGATGAAAGTCATTTCAGATTAATTCAACATGTCTGTCTAGTCAAATGTGTTCTTTGGTCCAAGTATAAATCAAACCCGTACAAAAATAACAGTTATGGCAATTTCAGCAAATTTCAATAATTTGACCTTGACAGTCAATCTCAGTAATAGTCAATGTCATATCAGACGAATTCAACATGTCGGTTTTATCATATGTATTCTTTGGCCAATGATAGATCAAATCAGTAAAACAAAATAATGACAATTTAAGCAAATATCAATTATTTGACCTTGACTTGAAAGGTCAATTTAAGGTCAAGGTTATATCAGAATAATTAACAAGCCGGTTTTGTCGTATGGGTTCTTTTATCCAAGTCAAATTATCTGTAAATAAGTAACAAAGTTATGAAAATCTAAGCTAAATTCACTAATTGACCTTGACAGGCAAGTTCATATAAAAATCATAGTCATAGTTGAATTACTTTACTTTAACTTTAGTGTCAAGGTTAAATTAGGGGCAAGTGAATTAAAAAAAATTATGTCTTGTCAAATAGATTGTTCGTGATTCATTTTTTACTTACAAAGTTAAAGCAAATTATAGAAAAAACTGAAATTACAATAATTTGGCATTTACGAGTCAATGTCAATTTGGGTTTGATCTATTTTAAGTCATTGTTCTCACGGCACGGTAGAACAGCTCAAGTTTGAATACATTCCATTCATATATAACAAAATTGTATCAATTACAGTAAAAATCAAACAAAATTCAATAATTTGACCTTCAAGGTCAATGTCATTGATGAGTCAAGGTCTTACTCAATTAAGTCTGCAATAAAAGTATTGTCCTAATGATTGTTTTTTCCAAATTTGAAAGACAATTCATTCATAAATATCAAATTAAATTTACAGCCAATTGTAGAAAAATAAATCAAGAAAAAATAAATAATTTGACCTTCAAGGTTAAGGTCTTTGATTAATAAAGGTCATAATCAATTTTGTCTCCATAAAAGACTTTTCCTATTATAGGATAATTATGTCCAAATTTGGAGACAATACATTCATAAATAAATATTACAGCCAATTATCGCTAAAATCAAGCCAAATTCAAATATTTGACATTGAAGCTCAATATCATTTATGGGTGATGGTCAAGTTCAGTCTGGTCAACTTAAAGGTCTTGTCCAAAGGATTCGTGTGTTCAAGTATGGAGACAATCCATTGAAAAATAGAAAAAATATGACCAACGTTAAAGTTTTTTTTTGGACGTCAACGATAAAATGACTGAAGCAAAAGCTTTTTCTTAAAAAAAAACGACAAACTAATATGAAAATGTTCATAAAATCATCAAGACATTTAAAGTATTCTTTATATTTCTAGTTTTAACATAAAATCCGAGAGCATTATCATCTGCTATTTAGAAACGAAGAATAGTCTAAATTTTGAAAACAAGACAGCATTTTTGAAAAATGCTTTGCCACCGCATTAATACAACATTAAATAGAAGTGCAGGAACAGAAACTTTTTTGTTTCTATACAATTGAACTTTGCCATAATGCAGTTGAGTCTAGTGAATTTGGTGGTCAATGTCATATTTCACATGCCCTAAATTTCATGACTGCACATCAAAGCACAAGAGAGTAAGTCACTTTGTCAAAGTCAGCTGATCAATATCAAAGTTCAATTTACACGTAAAAATGTGCAAATGATTTAATTTTCATAGCTAACGTCAAAGGACAAGAGAGTAGGTCACATGTCAAAATCTAGGTCAGCTGATATCAAAATTCAATTTTACATCTCAAACTGTGCACATGATCCAAATTTCATGTACATCAAAGGACAAGAAAGTCGGTCACTTTCCCCTTGAGCAGGGCAAAATTTTGACCCAAGGGTTTAATTCAAACCATCTTGATACAGGTCCACCAGACATCGTTCATGCTGTAGCTTTCTTCTATTTAAAAAAAACAACATTTGTTTGACTTTCTTTGTTCACTATCTGTACATAGTGAAAAATGAACCCTTGGGCGGGGCCGATTTTAACCCAAGTGCTATAATTTGAAAAAAAAATCTTGGTAGAATGTTTTAAGCAAATTATTTAACCTCTAGCTTTTGTCAATTCAGAGAAGATGGGTTTTTTTTAAGTTTTTATTATATGCATTTATACGTTAAACCTATGATGGGCCACTTTTGACACCAGGGGCAACATTTGAACACCTTTGGTAGTGGACCTTATACTAAATATCAAAGCTCTAAGCCTTGTACCTTAAGACAAGAATATTTTAAGTTTTTACTATATGTACATAGTGAACATCAATACCCCCCTTGGCCGACCAATTTGGACCCCAGGACTATAATGTGATCAATCTTGGTAAAGGTCTACAAGACAATGCCTTGTGCAAAATATCTATGTTCTAGGCCTAGTGGGTCTTAACAAACATTATTTTTTCTTTTTTTCCTACAATTCCTTTTGCTTGCCATGGCAACCAGATTTCTGCATGGAATCAAATTATTTAAACAACTTTGGAAGCCTTTTACCCAAGGATCAATCCTGCCAAGTTTGTTTGAAATTGGACTATTGGTTTTTAACAAGAAGATTTTTAAGTTCTTATAACACACGCACACACACAGAAGTGAATCTCTATATGCCATATAGGCATAAATTTGGGAACTGACGATTTCGGAAATAGATATTTCTTTAATGAATAAGCCAAAACAAAATTAGAATGAAGATCGACAAGCCAAAGGTAACGTTCACAGGATGCAGGCCCGACACACATCCAGCTACAACAGCAGGTCACCCAGAAAGCACCAAACCAGAATTGGGAGAGGACACAAGGATGACGAATGGAGGGGAGCAAGTCATACGATAGGATTTTTACTTTTCTATATTTAGATTATATTTATTACCTTGACCTTTTGATTTTTTTCTATTAATAAATTTGTAAACATTATACATGTGTATTTATGATCCCTTGAGTCGTCCCAACAGAAATGGTGTCAGAAGTAACGGATTATTGAAATTGATTTTGAATGGACAATGATATTGATTTTAATAAATATTTTTTGTTAAAATGATACAATATATTTGTCAAAAATACAGTATTTGAAATTGGAAATGAAAATATTTGTTTTGGATATTTTTATTTATAATTTGACAATACAATAAAAGTATATCAGCTGTTACAAGTTTCAATTTTCAGTTTGGCTGCTGAAAAGAGAAAATATTTATTTTATTGCATCTGACATCCATAGAATAATATTGATTAATCATGAAGGATACTGACAAGATTAATAATATGTTACTTGAAGAAAAAAATTATAGTAGCAGAAAGGTTTCTGCAATGTCAGATATGTTACAAACAATTAGTACAACTATGTGTAATTTAAATTCACAACTACATGGACAAATTGATACCTACGAAAAACAGGTTTCAGATTTTAATAAAAGACAAAATTATGAAAATGATGATAATGGTGACGATGATAGTGATAACGAAAATTCTTTTTGACCCAAGGAATGCCATTTCGAGTACAAATAGCCCAAATATAGATACAAATACAAATATTGGTGACATGGCTAGCAGATATAATCTTAAAAAAAACATAGAATTATGATGGACTTATCAGAGATGTTATATTTCCGATCCTTAAAGATCGTTCAACACGACATTTTTGTTGTGTTTGTGGTATTTTTTAGTTTCAACTATTTGGCTTTTTCGATTTGTGTGGTTCCAATATTCCAACTTGAATAATGTTGAATCACCCTTGGGATATGTTACCTGCCGGTGTTAGGTGGCGTGGACGGTAGTTTGCACTTGACAGTACCGTCATCAAACAGAGCCTGCATTCTTTTTCAATTTTGCCGTTTTGAACCTTCGTTAAGGATTCTTATTTTCTCTATTTTATCTGATTTAGGTGAATATTTAACTCAATGCAACATGATAGCATTTATAAATGGTTGGTCATATCAGGTAAAAGTTTTATATTAAGTAGTTTAACTGAAAATGTTAGATCTTCATTTAATTAGCTAAGTGAAATAGAGAAAAAAAGAATCCCCAACACGGCAAAATTGGAAATGGTGCAGACTCGGATTGATTGAGCCTGTCCATGGACGGTATTGGAAAGTGCAAGTTACCGTCCACGCCTACGCCATTTAGCACCGGCTTAAGCAGAATTCAACATTTAAATACGAAAATTGTGAGATTTTGAATTTAGAAACATCCGCAGATGTGTTTATAAGGCGGTTATCATGGAACCATCAATGTGGCACAGTAGTGCCATTCCATGAAAAGAGGCATATGGTCCCCAAGTAAAAGACTGCGTGTGCCTTAAACGTGAAAACAATGTGCGAACTAAATGAAATGAAGTTTTGAAGGGTCTCTGCGATTATTTAGCCTGCATATCACAAACAATACGTCAAAAGACAAATTTAAAAAGCAGGCAACATATCCTTAGGGTGAATATACAGTATTCTAGTACGAGTATGAATACTGGAACGACAAAAGTTGAAAAAGAACAAAATAGAAGAAACTAAAAATACCTTAAATCATGTATACACTACAAAATAATGTCGTGCTCATCGATCTTCAAGAATCGAAAAAATAACAATAAATAACAACAAAAAAATGGTCAAGAAACGATAATTTGATAGTTTAGTGGAGGTTCTTAGGACAAGATATGGTACAAAGAATAAGGCAGAAATTTTTAGGTCACAGTTAAAATCTGTTACAAGACAAAAAGGTCAATCAATTACAGATCTTGCACAGCAAATAAGAAAATTAACAAGACAGGCATACCCTGATGCAAATTCTGATTTAAGAGAAATTCTAGCTCTTGATGCATTTATTGACAGTATTGATGATTCTGATATTAGATTAAGGCTTAGAGAATGTTGTCCAAAATCAATAGCTGAAGCTGAAACAGTAGCAGTAAGACTTGAAACACATAAATTAGTAGATAGACAAAGATTACAGACAGTAAATGCACTTACACATGAAAACAGAACAAACATACATAAAACAAGCATGGAAACTGTTTTAGACAAAATTGAGTCATTATCACAGAAAGTTGATAAATTAGATAATACAAAATCATATGAACAAACAAAAAATACAAACAAACAGACAGGCAAATACTGAAAGCAGATATTCTGGTAAAAATACAGGAAATGTAGATAGAGGTCAAACCAACAGGTCTTTAAACGGACAGAGGTCAGGTAAAGTTGGGTGACCGCAACCAGACCAAATCAAAACTAAGGTCCAATATTGAAAATGTATATTATTGTGATGCATTGATAAATGGAAATTAAATATCTTGTTTATGTGATTCTGGGGCCAATGTGTCAATCATTAATAGTAAAAACAATCAAAAATTGTCAAATGATTCAAAACCTGATATTTAACCAGTTTCAAAAATGTTGTGTACTGTTACTTGTGAAAAGCATTTTTGGGAAAGGCTGTTATGGAAATTACTTTATGTGGACATATGTTTAAACATGAAATGTTAATAACAGATGTTGTACAAGATTGTTTACTTGGCATTGACTTTATGAGAATCTAAATCTCCGGAAATAAGTGAAGGTCTAACAAATGTTATTTGATAATTAGCAAGATTTACGCGTCAGTATAAGATGATAAAATACCTTGTTATATGAACAATAGTTCTGCATCAAATTGTTGTAGGCTGTCAATTTGTGAAACTGCTAATGTGGGTTACCACATGGTGGGTCACCGTGTTAAATTTTTTTTTTTTTATCTCAATTAGTTTCTATATAGCCTTTTGTACTGTGTGTTTATGTGCTGAAACTAAATAGACATGGATAACCTTTCCAATATTTGCTACGTTAAGTATTAAATGTTCATACCTTTTTGATCATCTGACATCTTGTTGGCTTCTAACATCGAAATGTTGTTGGCTTCAGTTGCCATGTTTTGTACATTCGTGTACGGTACCACTTTATTAGCTCGACTTTTAGAAGAAAAAAGAGCTATTTCAACAGTCTTACTACAATCTTAAATAACATATTTCTGGTGTTCCGATGAGGCTCTCGAATCATAAGATGCGTTTACATGTACGAGTTATCAAATACATGTATATACTGATAAAGATGACTTCGACAAGTTCTGTTCCAGCATTTCGCTAGTTTGTTAACTGGTAAAATACTAAGATCTTGCTTATTTCAACCTGATCTCACTCTTATAGAAATAGAAATCCTTGTAAAAGTGAAATTATGTGTCATTGATATTTGCAAATTTTAATCACCCTTTAATCAATGACATCAATCAGTACATGATAAAGCCTTTTTTATGTGTTAATTTAAAACAATACATAAATCAACGCACAGAAGGCGCTGAATTTGTTTGGGTCTCAGAGTGTCAGAAAATTGAAGGTTGTGAGATTATAAACCAATTTGTTTGTATAGTGACACACGTGTTATAACTATAGTAAATTGGCTATAAGACTAATTGCAACACTGCACTGATATTAAATTCAATGTTATTTGGCTTAAAATAATGAGTTGCCTGAACTGGAATTTGAACTCCAGACCTCTCGCTTTCAAAGCGAGCGTGTAAACCCCTCGACCACGGGGAGTTATAAGATAATAGCCTGAAGAATACCATATTATTCTAAATTAGTGTTTGTAATACTTATTAATTCCGATATATTTTGTTCACGGTAAACCTGTTGTTTAACACTGAAGTAAATAATCATGGAGCTGAATATAAGCATGTATATCTATAAGAATAACACAATATAAGAAATCTTCGACAAATCGGGAACTATTTTTTCGTTACGAAAATTAATACGCCTGTCATTTGACAATCTTTACGCAGTGATCTCCCCTTAATTTTTCGGCGTTAATGTACATATGAAGGGAAGTAACCGCTTCGAGGAGTTTGGACTACTTTCGGTATTTGCAAATAAGAACATCAGGGTCTGAAATTTCGCTACCATTATTTGTTTGATCTGACGACCCAAACGAATAAAAAACTTATTTTGATTAATGACAATTAAACATATTTAAAGTTGAAGACTTATATTTTATTTATTGAAATCATATTCAATCTTATACATACATTAATAGTTTAAAGGTACTACTTTTTATTAAAGGTGACTTTGTTTATTTTTGTTGTTGTTGAGTTTTACATTGCAGTTTAGGTCATATGGAGACTTTCAAGATTTACTGATGGAGCAAGAGCCCATACAGGCATGTACAAACGGGCACCTGAGCAGAACCACCGATCTGGATAGCTTAAGTACATTTTGTACAACATGATAGTGTCATATATATATTAAACATACGAATTATTTCAGTATTTTCTTATTTTTCTTATAACAAATATAATTGAGATTACTTTCACAAAAATATATATCTTAATCAGAAATGGAAGATGATGCCGGGTAAACAAATAAGCAGATTTATGGAACTAATTTGTTATATGCTTACAAGAAACTCCTGATATAAAGAAATAATTTTGAATGACCTAGTGAGTTTTCTATGAGCAGAGTTTACTGTACATGTGAAAAGATATAAAATGAGCCTCGTCATGACAAAACCAACATAATGGGTTTGCGACCAGCATGGATCTAGACCAGCCTGCGCATCCGCGCAGTCTGATCAGGATCCATGCTGTTCGCTATCAGTTTCTCTACTTGTAATAGGGTTTGTAAGCGAACAGCATGGACTGCGCGGATGCGCAGGCTGGTCTGGATCCATGCTGGTCGCAAACGCATTACGTTGGTTTTGTCGTGACGCGGCTCAAATAAAGAAATTCATTCTATAATTATTCGAGCCAATGTTTCTGAAACAATACATCATCTTGTATAAGAGAAGTCAAAATACTAGCAATTGTTTCTTTCTTTAAGCTATTCATTTTCCTGCATTCACCACTGATAAATGGAAAATTTGATCTAAATTGTCATCTTTGACTTAAACAAATGAAATATAAAAAAAATAAACATTCACATGGTATGGCATACATGTCAACTATGTTAATCCTTCAAGAAACATGTGCTATTTCGTATTTCATGGACTGATGCCACAAATATACTTAATTCTATTAAAATTTTGGTCATTGTATGCGCATGCTCTGTACGTGTTTCTTTCTCGGTTACAATGATACTTAATCAATTTTTAATTCAGTTGGATGAACTTGATCATGTGTAACCTCCAAAATAGAAAGACTTGTATAAATTATTGCAGAGTCCGCTTCTTTACAGATTACTTACCCAGTTCTTGTTTAATATGTTGAAAAAGGGTCCTTGACCGAAATAAAACTTATTGTACGATTATTCGGTTGAAAGGAAACCAAGCAAAAAGGTCTTCAAACAACTTTGCAATGCTAAAATTCAAATAATTTTTATCATATATATTTTCTAAAATGATACATACAAATAATGATATTTACCTTGCAAGTTTATACCAGAAATAAATAGACAGTTAATGCATTTTGTGATTACGAAACAACTGTACTGTATAGATACTGATAAACGTATTAGACATAAACAAATTTATCTTAGATATAAATGAACTATTTAGAATAAAGATGAACTATCTTTTAAAGTACATGAGAATTCTGAGATTTCACATTATCAAGACTTCATGAAATAAATTTTATCTAAACGGATGATAAAATATTTAAAATATATCAGATTGCATGATTGTTGAAATAGCTGGCATTGCATTGTCTTTTCATTTCTATATCCCTTCTGTACAAATTTAAGTAAGTGAGCAAAGAACGTAAGATATTTAAAGTAAACTTTACTTTAGTAAAGATTACTATTGTAAAGTAATGTAAAGTGAAGGTAAGAAAAGAAAAAAAGGTAAAGTGAAGTAAAGTGAAGTAAAGAAATATAAAGTGAAGTAATGTAAAGAAAAGTAATGTAAAGTGTAAATATCAAATGAATGATAAAAATACAAACACATTCACAAGGCCCATCTTAGCATAAATATAGATATAAATCAACTATATTCTGGGTGTATTTGAGAAGACTAGATATGAAATATTATAGCTTGTACATTATAAATATTTTTATGGATTACATATTCAAACCCATTAATATTGTATGGATATTATATTCTCAGATAAGAATATAAAGTGTTATTTTGACTCGGGTATCGTTAATTACACAAGAACAATGTTAATTGACCGTTTTATCTGGTAACGAAATCTTTTGCGATGTCAGAGATCATATGGACCTTAATAAATCAGTTCGCAGATCAAATGTATGGTTCTTTATGTATTACATGTTGCGAAATGTTATAACAAAAATTCTTAACAGCTGGGTATCTTATATTTATGTTGTATTTTCCGTTTATCAACCATCAGTAAAATAGCGATCAAATATTGCCAACTGTTAGCTGAAGGCGATGATTGTTTACATTTCGCCGTGTTCAATCGCATTTATCAGACCTGCTTGATGCTTACGCGATATAAGCTAACTTGCATTTTACAGAGTACAAAGTTTCTAGAAGTTTTACCGCGGTAACTTACTGTTTCTCTTCCAAAATCAATGTGCGCGCTTGGATTGTGGAAACGTTAGATTATATTTATCAATATTCGCAGACTGGGAACACACGATGTAGGCGAGTGCCGTTGTGCTGAATATATGAGTGGTGTGATTACAGGAAGCTGGTTCTAGTTGGAGTGTTTCGGATTTTATCAGCAACAGACGACAAAATGGTTACGGGAGAAATGTTGACTTTAACTTTGTCCGGCGGTGCCCCGTGGGGCTTCCGGTTACAGGGTGGGGGAAGCTTTCCTCTTGAAGTTGCAAAGGTGAGTGCATTTTTCAACTTACTTTTCTTTTCAATTTTTACAATAGCAGAAAAATGTGACATTGTGATTTTGGAAAGATTTTTCTTTTTCTTCATTAACTTTCTGTATATTGCGCTTTAGATGTATCACGACTTAAGCCGTAGAAAAGAAAATATTTTTTCTTTCTTCAAAGTTAACGGAAAGTTCCAGTAAAATACTTACATGTATAAACTATTGTTTCTCAAAGACGCGCGGTAATGAAGATCAGCTGATCAAGATATTGACATGAACTAATTGCCACAATAATTGCCACCTATTATTATCGTCTGGCACTGTGTCAAACAAGTAACTGTTCACAGTAATTGTTTCCAGATGAAACAATACAATACCAACTTTCGCGTGTACGTGACCGGAACTCTCTGACGTTTCAGAATTTTATATTTAGCAGACGACATGAATTAATGCCGTCAGCAGTACTTTGAATTCATTTGATTATATTTTATCATAGTTGTAACAACATGCCTGACAATATGATTGACATTGAAAACTTGAATGAAGCTCAACTTTTTAGAACAATTTGTTTTTTAAACTTTGTTTATGAGTACTGTACATACATGTTTATGACAATTCTGGCCTTTAAACTTGTATTGAATTTATTTTTTGTCACCCGGAAGTCTGTGCCCCATGTCATATATTTCACAGATCAGAACATATATATCTAATTTTTCTAAATAGAGAAAATATTTATATAAACATGTCTGATTTTAACATGTTATTATTGTTCGAATAGCATAATATATGAATAGTGTCAAAAAACTTTTCAGTTATTTTGTACATACATCACTTCTATTTATCGTAAACGTTATTAGTACAATGTATTTTATTTCCAAGTTAAGCTAAAGTAGTTGGCATACAATAAGTTATATAACTGCATTGCACATTTTAGGAAAATTTTATACAAAAACAGTGACACAGGCATCTGTGAAATAATTCCGGTATAAACTAAACAACGGTTTTACGTCAGTGATTCTTATACTACTTTTTATTTGAGAATGGTGCTTTAGAATTGTGTGCAAGAAAATAAGTTAAAATGCAATAAAACACGTCATGGTATGCTTACAGTAGTAGGCTTCAGTCATGTCAGCCATTTGTTTAAAAATAAAACAAGATGAAACTTTGCATTGTTTATCTCTTTTTAAATATTTATTTTGTAAAGATTTTATGCACAATTAACTACACTTATCGTAGTGTGCTAGACATCCTCTAAAATTAAAATTTTATTAAGACTGTAAAATGTTCATTGCACAGCACGTGTAAATGCTGTCTTTTCTTTTGCATTTTTTTTTCAAGAAATACGTTCCATGTAAAATTGTAATTTCTGTGGCAATTAATATGGCAGATGTTCAAAAGTCTTGTAAAATTTCGAAATAAGGATCAACAAATGATGATATCAAATGATTAATTTTTAGTCGACTGAAAATAAACGTGTTAATACACAGAAAAAATGCATCAAATATGGCAGATTGGAACATAGACAAAAAGTGTGTTGAAAAATTACGAAATATTTTCTTTTTCATTTTTTCTCTCTATTGTTTAGAAACAATGAGTTAATAATGTGATAAATTTTCATAGACTTTTTAAATGGTATACCATTTTGCACACAATTTGATATTTATCAAAAATATATATTTGTTACTAACAAATTATACTGCTATGCGTATAATGATATACTGTGTACAAATCAAAGAAGTAAAATTTCTGTTTTGTTCTGTTTTTAATAAATCAGATAAGCGTGCCAATTATATCGCACCTTATTGTATCAATTATAAGACATAAGGCACATATTATGTATGCAATAAGGATCAAAATAACTGTAATGTGAATCCTTTATGTATAATAAAAATTAATCAGTATTTTTGATTTACATACTCTGTTTTTAAATGGTTTTCTACACACAAAAATGTTGTGGAAAAAAAACAATGAATCTATACAGCTCTTATTAAAACATCCGTCTTCTGATACAGGTATTCATCACCTAGTTTAAACTTTATCCTCCTCGGTTTTTAACGTAAACCATCTTTTTTAAGAGTAATAAATTTACAGGGAAAGTAGTTCAAAGAATCGTAAATATGGTTTTATTTATTTTCCTGCTATATTTCAAATAACAAACAAGCCATCATTGATTGATATATCAATACATATCATTGATTACATGTAACTTGACCGTAAAAAAACTTTAAAGGCACATTAAGCCAGAATATTGTTATTATTTACATTTCTCAAAAACTTGTTGTTTTTGGTGTCCCGTTACAATTTCTTGGGGAAAATACCCATTGACCATACAGTACAGGTGATAGCAAAACAGAATAACAATTCTGTTATGTTTAGTAATAAGAAGAACAATTATTATAGCGATTTAGTATATTAAAGGAAAGACAAAATACTATTTTTACGTTTTTGTTAGAACTTTCTGACATGTTACTTTAAATTCAGCATTACTTACTTCCGGCAACAAACATCAGCTATGTTTAAAATGTCCTTTATTAAAACATGACTTAATACATGTTCCCCCCCCCCTCCCCGAAAAAAGATTGTATATTAATTTCTGAAGCACCATGTGCCTTTAATTTCATGTTCTACAACAGACTTTGCCCTTTCATCAAGCTTATTACCAATTGGCAAAAATACAGTAGAATTTGTTTTTCCTTACGCAATCTGTAATAGCAGTTGTCCAGCAGTCTGTTTTCTAGGTCAGCACATATTTTTGCGGAATTTAAGAAACCGATAAGCTTGCTAGGTTTATAGAGTTATGAGCAGAAGCTTGCAAATTACCACTACAACCCATGAACAGGCTTAAACCGAGCCAGCAACATTTTCAATTTTGCCGTTTTGGGCGCACTTTAGGGATTCTGTTTTTCCATTATTATATATACTATTCGTTTCCTAATTATTGCTTCCAGTTTTTATGCGATTAAAGATCATTGTTCATTTTACTTTATGAGACTATATTTATTTGCATCAAGCTTTATACAGTGTCTATAAAAAGTACAGCAATGTACTAAAATATACTTAATTTTACATGAGTCTGTTTTTTGTTGTTTTTATTTTGGCAATTACAAAAACACCCACGCCGCGATTTTTGGCTCTACTACAAACATGAAAACTTCAGGAATTACAATTTAAGTGGTATTGAAATCCATTTCATATATATACCTATGTATTCCGCTGTTAGTTTGTAATTTGCAGCCGAGTTTTTATCATGTTTTAGTAATAACACAATGGAAACCATGACGTACTATTTCTAGTCAAGAGTTTTCAACTTATGTGAACGAGATTTCAAACACTTGCTTGTGCTAAAAATGGTTTGATAATAAAAACGCTGCATTAAGTTCATATGTAACATACGGATAATTTACAAATGTACTTTGTAAAAAGAAATTGAAAAAAAATAAAGAAAAAAAAGATATTTTATCGGTATTTTTATGTCATTTTTATGTCTGCTGGCTTAACCACGCCCAGTTTTTATGATTATTAATTTAACACTAATCAAGTTGACTAAATTTTCGTCCCGCTGCTAAGTTTTGGAGACTTGCTGTATACTAGTGCATTAACTTGTTTGATAACAGGCGTTCTTGGATCAGATTCAAACAGCAGACGGCATTTAGTATTGTAACCATAGTAACAGAGTAGTTATATATTTCATGATATGTTTTGCTGCTGTTCCATATACCTGGGGAACATTCGCTTATGACATTATTTTGATATCTTACATATCGCAATACATACAATAATCGGTTTGAAGGTTTTCATCAAGTACTATAAATGTTGTTTACAGCAAACTTACCTGTCTTATACATGTATTTGACATCGAATATATAAAAAATGATAAAAAATTATTGAACTTTCATGGCCATTTTGGTTCTCCGTGAATCGATTTTGAAGAAGTTATTGGTATTTGTACTTTTTCCTGAACGTTGTTTTTTTTTCAAGAGATTGTTATCTTGTATTTGCGCAGAATTTTTAAGAAATTATTGGTATTTTGTACTTTTTCCTGCACGTTGTTTTTTCAAGATATTTTATCTTGTGTTTGCGCAGAATTTCATGAGCGTAATACTAAAGCTATTGGCGTTGGTCCCAATTTGAAAACAAAAATGTTTATTTGTTATATCTATCTATCGTGAGAAAAACTCTTGTGTTTACTTATGAATTTTCTATGAAATGTTTATTTCTCTCTGTCATAGATGATTTGAAGTGTTCACCTTTTCGACTTTTTATCATGAGCCCCATGTCGATCAGGAATATAACAAATCAAACAAGAATGTCATCTACTCAATCATGGTCTACTGAAATAAATCACAGATGACTTGCATATATCCTTTAACTGTCTAATAAAGTAATGAAATAAAGTACATGTTTTATTAAAGTTTAGTTTAAGTTGCGAAACAAAGCTACTATGTATTACCTAAACATTTAGATCAACAAGTAGACCTAATGGATGTACGAGGGCCATATCTGCTATTTTTTTAGCAAACTTTAATTATTTCAAGTACGCCTCCTCAGCCAAGGTTTCGAAAGTTCCACTCAGCAATTTGTTCGTAAAAGACGTCAAATTATTTTGTGAACGAAAGGACGCTTGCTTTACTCAGATGCAGCCCATGTCTGAAACATAGCGGGACTTTCCTCAAACAGGAAAAGCCCAAACTCGCTTTATTACAAAAACATTCGACATGGAATCGAGTGCGGCGACTACATAGCAATACAGTTTTCAAGTTGTGTGTTAACGGCGCACTAACACAATTCAAGTCATATGGCGCCGAAACAGGAAAGGCGATTTTTGGCTTACCTCGATTGTTAGAAATCTAAAGCAACACCAGGGGTTAAAACCCTCACACCTGCTGGCAGATAATTTTGAACTCATGAGAAGAGGTGCTGTTTAAACCTTCTATTGAAACCTTGCTTAAATTGCCTTACTCAATACAATCATTGCAGCTATACTTCTATTTACTGATTCTTTCAAATCATTACAAATTATATAAACAAAATTATTGTATCTCTTTTACAGCTCATAGAAGGGACCTTTAGTCATGAAAATTTCGATCAGAGAGAACAAACAGCAAAAGGTTCAAAATAAGTCAAGGTTTTGGCGCGCGTTCAATTACATCTCTTACTGAATTCGCTTATTCTAACACAAGAAAACAGCAGGTGATTTTCAAGCTACAAACACTTGAACTAGTGTTTATATAAGTTTGAATGATTGCCTGTTAACAGCAATACATCATTGTTATATACTGAATGGTGACGAGGTTGTCAGAAAATATATTTTAGCTGTATTTATTACTCACGTCATTTGTACGGGTTTTATTCCAACCTTTGTTTGATTCGCTTGGTACAGTGCCACTTTCACAACATTTGTTTGTTTGATTCGCTGAGTCTAGTGCCAGATTAACAGTATTTAAGTTATTCTCCGGCGACCAGTTATCTTAAACTGTGTATTTCTGAATTCTGGTTTCAATACTTTTACCCTGCCAACTACTCAGCATTTATCATTTTGAACATTAAACGATAATGTCAATCAAAGTTTCTAACATTATTTATCACTCGCCATGGAAAGTCACGGTGTTGTCCGTTCATCATTTCGTTTGACATCATATCTAGAAAATATAGCAAATCATAATTAAATTTGATTTTGCTATTTTTCTTTAGCTTCTTCGGTGGACTGTAATTTGACAAACATGTACGTGCGACTCTCTTTTTGCAAAAATGGTCTGACTACATGTATAACGTTTCAAGTTCTGTCCGATTGTTTTTGAGAAATTATAAGTTAAGTTTATTTTTTTCAGGACAACATTCAGGCAGTTTATTTAAAAACCAGGCCATTGCAATGGAATGATGATCAAAAAAAAGAAAAAGAAAAAAAAAGAGATATCTTCATTATCATCGTAAATTTGGAGTCTCCAGGAACTTTGTCAAACTTCATGCGTCCTAAATTTAAAAATGTTAATATTTACGTACCTTATTTTATTAAAGGTTCGCAGAAACAGTCATTCCCACCAAGCAGGTTTGAAAGAAGGTGATGTTGTTGTGAGCCTTAATGGGCACTCATTGGCTGGCAAATCTCACCAATCTGCTATGGAAATCGTTGATATGGCTACTCATACCATTACGTTTCAAGTGAGAAGGTAACTTATTTATTCATTTATATAGTTTATTTGGTTTTAAAGCTGGGTCCCTGCATGAAAGAGCCGATGGACCCTTATTAAGCATAGGCTACCGAGCGGTTTTTAAGCAGCATGTCCCAGATTCATGTTTATTTTTATGAAAATTTTAAAATGTATCAAAATATAAGATTTTGTCAACACATTTCAAATGGCCATTTACAATCCGCTTAAATTACAAAAAAGAGGTCAAAATATGCAAAATAGCTCTTACTGCGATTGTCATGCAATGTGTGATAAATGCTGCAAAATCAGTAAGTTATCACACAAAACATGTCATTTATTTCAAATCTATTTAAAGTACATTTTTCTCAAGTTTGATTTTCTTCAAATATTTATGCTCATCTGGAGGCATGCAGCTTTAAGTCGCATATGCACTGAAAATACCATATATGTATATGAGTTATATTTTATATGGGTATATTTTATACCTATTTTTGCTTGTATCATATAGAGATTTCAAGTTGTTTTTTAACCGGGAAAGCAATGTTTTTAGCGTCCTTCCATGTAATAATCACGTGCACGAGTAGGCAACAGCAGAATAGAGACACACACCACTGACTTATAAGACAGTAAATAAATTCATAGCCTCTTGTGGGATTCGAATCCTTAGCGGCAAAGTGCAAGCAACGGACCGTCTTAAACACTCGGCCACTAGTCCCTCAATTATAAGCTTTATAAGTTTATATTATTTTGTAGTTAATTTATAAGTTTTTTGAGCTTTAATATTTCGTCAGTTTTTCATTTAGCCGAAAGAGATTTATTGTGCCAACGTGTTTTCGTACATTTTTGCAGCATATAGAAACAGAGCAGTTGGGTTTAAGAGCGCCTTAAAACTATAAGAAAAGAAGACTTCATTCAGTCTGGGATAAATATTGATAAATCAAACAGCTTCTGTTCCTTTATGATCAAACAGTTTATGTTGCTTCATGTAATCTTTTTTTCAACATGATATTATGAGTTAGCAATAAAATCTGCAATAGATAAAACGATACTCAATCCTTTGTGTCTATAATTGATTGATTTATTTCTCTTTGTATTTTATATATACCATATGTCCAGTGCAACAGTCATATATTCGGAAAACTTTTGCGTAAAACCCAGAAATAAACATCAGCAAAACAGGTGAACTTTTTCTGTGTCAAAAGCGGTCAGTGAAAAAAAAACACTACTTAAATATAATCGATATTATTAATTTTTTTTAGATATTTGTATATACCGGTATATGGGTTTTAGAGTTGGTGAGATAAAGATGAAGAACGCGTTCATATAACAACGCTCTCCTGATTTATAAACGGAAAATGACGAAGTTTACCGAATGTACTCGAGTGATTTTTTGGATGCTTTATGTTTATAGTAGAATAAATATTATAATACGAATATAATATATAGTATAGGTCATGCCATCGAAATTTGAATTTCAAATATATGTATATAGGTTTACAACAATGTCTCTGTGTGCTATATTTCAGACCTTCAGGTTCACACGGACGATCTATGTCTATGGAACCACAACAGCGAAACCTTTATGTTGGACATGACAATGTCGCTCCGGGAATGGCTACTTCCTCTCGTGGGTATTATACCACGAATGAAGGAAACCGACAAACAGTTGTTCACTCCGATCAATACACTTTGCGGAATCCTGATGGTCGCACAGTGTCTAACATTGTCACTGAACAAAGAACAACAACTCGTTATGGGGGTGGTAGTGGCGGAATGTCGCCGGCTGTAAGTCATTCAAGTCTTGGCTCCACAGAACACAAGAGCCGATCGCCCAACAGGTCACCTCTCATATGGCAACCACCGTCTCAGAACCGAGCAAATATCCAAAAGAGTCAAAGCTTATTAGATATATCATTTGGTCATAAAAAGACTTCACTATCGCCAGTGATGTGGCAACCTCGTAGTGTTTCTCCAACACCTGGCTCACATGGTCGTCCGGCATCCGTTCAATCAGGAAGTCTGGACAGAGTTTCCACACGCAGAAGTTCCCATGACTCTAGAGCTAGTAAAGAAAACATGGACCCTTTCATATTAAGAGAACAAAAGAAATGGGAAGCCACCCATGTTACCGAGCCTAAGTATGATCCCTATAACATTAATAGAGCTGGAGGCATGAAATATGCCCCGCCTAAAATGGACGACCCTAATTACCCTATGTTTGAACTGCCAAGAAAGGTAGAATGGACTCCACCGAAGATAAATGTACAGCCAGAACCTATTCCATCACCAATAAAAAAGAAAGGTCCACCTGTGCCAGCTAAGCCTATGACACCATCATCGCCAGTTATTCACTTTGATCCCTCGGAACGGCCTGTTGCCGGTGTAAGTAGCCATCGTCCAGGTATGATTAGACCCCCGGCACAGCCTAACTTAATGCCAGCACCACCACCGCCACCACTCCCCCCATCACCGTCCGAGAATCCGAGGTTTAATGTTGTCTCGATACAGTCTAAGCTGGAGTCTACCCAGCCGGGTTATGACGAGCCGGATCCCGCCCAGCGGCCGGGACATCTGCACGTGTTTCAACCGAAAGTTATGTTTACACCGGACGAGGATAGCGGAATGGCCTCCCCTGACTTTCTAGATGGGCATAGTGATATATCTGCTCATAGAAGTAAGTTTAAGATATCACCTCTAATAAAGCATGTAGTGTGTTTTCCAGCATATTGGCATGGTGTTTGATAGAAGGCCTTCAATCTGTTATGATACCTGACTAGACAAAATAAGCTGTGCTGTAAACCTGGCAAAACTAATAAGTTAATTAGTCTTTTAGTATAAAAGTCTTCTAAAATATTCTAATTAATACATAAACATACTTATCAAGCATAAATTCTTCACTATCACTTCAACAGATAAGTTTCTAAATGATTATTTTAATATTTCAAAAGATAACTTTCTAAATAATGATTTAAATTTTTCAAAATGAATGATTTTAATATTTCAAAATGAATCTATGACATCTTTCTTTGCATGGGTTGTGAAACTTTTAGTTTTGACATGCCTTTTCGCAGAAAATAACTACCTTTTTTATTAATTAGAGTTGAAAGTTGTTTTATTTTGGCATGTAATGGTTGTGCATTGTAGTAGCAGACGACAATCCTGGTGATGAACACTGTCAACGAGACCGTCGAATAAAGGATATCCCCCCTCCCTTAATCATGATCATGTATGAATCTTGAATGGAGAAAAATAAAATGAGTATTTTCTGGAATCACTCCGAGGTAGGGGGCTTCGCTATCTTTCTACTTTTTTCTTTTCTTTCTAAAATGTCTGTTTTCATGTGTCCCATTAGTCTTTCTATAAACTGTAATATTATATACAATACTGTTTGTCGCGTTTTTACTTCCCAGGTATCATTTTAATTAAGCCCGGTTGAATATTTGTTCACTGTCAATACAAGTAACTAAATGCTTATCAACTTATAATTGACAAAAAAATATATATATACGAGCTCGTATATAATAGCATTTCAAATTATAGAGTAAATACTTAATTATCGCGGTTAAATTAAACAATGACGCCATGGTTTTGTGGCCTTCAAAATGACATGCTGGTATGATATATGGTTGTTTATAGTCGCCACCGGAAACCACTCTTGATCGCGGCATTTTGATACTGTTTGTCTTTTTAGTTTTCACACTGTAAATCAATCAATCAATCAATCTGTAAATTTGACTCTTTTAATATGAACATTACACGCTTCCTTTTCTAGAAAACTGTTTTCATCTTATTTTTTGGAGGATATATGATAACCGTGCAATGTGTAAAGCACCATTGCATAGGACCTCGGTCTCCCCGAAAGACTACTAGTAAAACTTCAGTTAAAGTATTGCATCTCTTGATTTGTAGTCAGGCAAGGTTCTATCGTAAGTTTATTAAAATTCGTCACATTTCGCCCATAGATATATTAAGCATCGGGAATAACATGAGTAATAAACAAAATCTTACTAAATAATGGTTTCTTACAAAAGACATATTCAAAGGTTTTACAGCGTTTACATATTGGTCATCAACGGATCGCCCTGGGTAACCTTTTACCGCCTCCATGGTCAAGGGGTTAGAGTCGATGACTTCTAATCCAGTTACCTCTCTGGCGTGGGTTCGATCCCCGGGAGATGCTTTGGTAGTTTAGCGCGGAGGAATGTAGTCTAGTACTGGTGTAACTCTTCAGGAACGATGGTTAGGAAACTACCCACATATAAGACTGAAATACTGTTGGAAAAAGGCGTAAAATGAAACAAACAAACAATATTCCAGTACGAAAGTCCACCTATTAAATGACTCATAGTAAACAATACTGGAGAAATGTGTAATCGATTTAATAAACAACGTTTTGAATAGGATTCGAATCCAGCATCCATAGTTTAAGAAGCGCATCTCTAACAAGTATATTACTGATCAATACGGATAAAAGACAATATTTAAAACCTTTTTTATCTGCTCCTTTTCGTTCATTGTTTTGCTTTCTGTTGTTTTTCCCCGGTTGTTTACATTAAGCATGTGATCATCATAACGTGTTGATAATCGTAGTATGTAATTCATCAGAAACCTAATTACCATTATCTTGATTACGTTCTAAATCCTTCATTTGATCCATGATTAATGCATAACAAGGTTATGAGTTTTGCTAATGTTTTCAAATAACACAAAAAAGCGTGCATTTTTTTTCGCAATATGTTGGCACGAAAAATATGCGCTTTTTATAACAAAATCATTTCAGGCCTAACTTTGCTATTGTACCATTTATGACAAGCATAACTATTTATTTTATTTTTTCTCAAAAGGCATTTCCGGTATCTTTGTTGACAGTATAAATCTCCTTCTATTTCCGACGTTTAAGTGACATTTTACGAATTACGATTCATCGGCCTTTTTTTTCAAAAATGATTTATTTTTGTCACTAATGCTTTTATTACTTTTGCAACCCTTAGAATAATTACCTGGATATTATTCAGATTTTGGAATGTGTATGCTCATAGACTTACTTAAGTAGAGATTAAGTTATCGTTTTAGCATTAAGGGTATCCAATTCTATTCTATTTTTATCAATACGCGTTCTTATATTGAAAAAATATAAGTAGGAAATTTTGAAGATTTTTGAAAAACGTTTTTATCCAAACTAAAATATTATAAGCATTTTCTTCCAAATTCGTTCTTCCTGACTTTTTAAAACGAAACTCCATAGTCGTCTTCAGCTGTACTCACTTTAATACATGTATATAAAACGAGCGCTAGATTATGTATTAAAGATATACTATGCATTCAATATATTGATAATTGCTACACAGCCTATTTGTAAATTATTTGTAAATATAAAATAAACATATTTTGACTTGACAAAAAGTAGATATGCTATGCTTTAAAGCCTACACACTATAAATTGACACACTATGGAATATATAGTGTCATTAAAAATGGCTTTTTTAAAGAAAGGAACAACTTTACTTGACTTTGAATATGACTATGGAACGCAGCGATTTTAGCAAGTTTTTCAGAATACATAGTTTTTACGTTCTTTGTTTAAAATAAACATGTTAGGTAAAAATATCATAGATTTCAATACATTTCTGCAACAATTATATTTTACCTAAAGATGAGCATAGTATTTCTTTACATTTCGTAGCTAGCATTCCAAATTGTTCGCTGTATTTGTTAAAACCCTTTTAAGTGCATACTGAACATCTGTTTGACGTTATATAACTAAAAGTCATTTTAAATTGTATAGTTTTTTGAATGGACATCTCCAAAATTAAACGTTTATTCATTAAATTTTGTCAGGGGGCAGTAGGCTTGAAATTTAAATACCTGTGTTAGGCCTTGTATTAATGATTATGCACGGGAACCTAAATCCCGGTACACGTGATATGTTTGACATGTAGAAAAGTCATCTATACTTCATCCGGGTAAGGTGCTGGGCCCCTCTGGAGCATCGTCGCATACTTGCGCATAAACTGCCATTTTCCATTTCTTCTGTGGTCCATAAGGATTCCAGAAAAAAAAAATTAAAAATAATGAAAGGCATTTAGATTTGAAATTAATTTAATAAATGTAAGTTAACTGTTTGTACCCTACCCTCATTTGGCATGATTTCACAGTTTAACACTGTCGTTTTTTTATTTGAGCATTTTATTATATACTTGTAGCTTTATCTTTCACTGAAACTTTAGTGTAACTTGGTTATTTTAAAGTTATTTAAGAAATAGGTCGACTAAAACGATCATTTGTCTGATGCATTTATAAAATGATTGTTGTCCTACATGCTATTCTATTAAGAGTTTTTCTAAGCAAAATCATTATTACTTCATATGGATTATTTTTGTATGACTTATACAGTCTCAATAGTAGTTAAACTGAAAATAATATAAAGAACAGTAAATCTAAAAACAATATAAAAACGTTTTTTTTACATTAATTGTAAATTTGCAAAACATTAAATTAACTATTCAATATAATGCTATTTTTGCTTTATCAGTAATGAACAGAACTACTTTCTTTCTTACAGAGAAGCTATTTTCGGACTCGGCGTTCTATGACGATGCTACGAACAGGTATCCGACCATAGACGAGCAGATGTCAATGTGTAAGAAGATCGCGCAATCGCTGACATCGTTTGCCAATAATCGAGCGAGAGGAGCGCGCATGTTTGCTAAGCGAAAACGCAAAGCAAACAAGTGGATTCATGAACGGGGGTTTGGTAGTGAATTTTCGTCTTCGACTGGGGATGTGGCGGATTTAAACGATCTTGATAGTGAACTTTACTACGACGAAGGAGGAAATAAACCTTTGTTTACTTTTAGAATTCCAAAGGTTGCAAGCCAGGTGAGTGACGGTCAAAGAATGAGTTTGTCAAAGCAGGAATTTGAGCGGCTGAGGCTTCAGGCCCCAAAGGTGGACCACCATGGCGTTTCACCAAACACGTGCTTTAATATTGCAGCCGATTTGCATAAAGGCGGGAAAAATAGGGGCGCGAAATTATTCCAGAAACGGCAACAGAGAGTAGAAAAGTTTGTTATTGATGATACTAATGTGTTGAGGTCACCGACTTCAACAAAATTGGACTTTATTGTTCAAAACCCACCGCAACCGTCACCGGAAAAGTCTCCTTGGAACGCGGCTGCACAGGGTGATATGAACAGAGCGTTTTCGCCACATCAATATAACCAGATGACACTTGGTCCCAGACATAACCTCGAAGCCGATAATCAACCAAAGTTGATTGGCGGGAAGAATTTCAACAAGAAAGCACAGGGATGGCAAGGGTTCGGTCCAGGTGTTCAACAGCAATCATATTATAGAGGTGAGTTGTTTGAACCCTTTTAATTTCAGTTACTAATAAATGTTAAATTTATAGCATGTTTATATAAATGTTAAGGAAAACAACGCTCTTTTTTTGTGATTCGGAACAAGACAATCATTTTTTCTATGTGCGTGCCAAAATGTGTTATATTTATTGGCATGTGGGTTTTGTTTTCTATGATATTGTCAAGGGACTGATCATAATAGGTGTTTCTTTGAGGCTAAAACAAAACAAAATGTTGGTTTCTGTGCACATTTGAGTTAATTTATTCCATGCAATACAAATATCCGTGTCTCAACACTCAATACTGGCCTTGTTTTCTCTTCAGATAAAAAAAACTATATGATTACAATGAAGTGTCTTTCAGGCTGTGTATTTCATTCGGACTTTTTTTAAATAATAGTTATAAATATTATCAGATAGTCATTAATATCATCAGCGGACTTTTTACTGGTATGTTAAAATGATCACAATATTATTACCTGTGAAAAACATTTCACTGGGAATAGATTGATTCTAACTTTGATTAGAAGGTCGTTATTTACCATACAATATAATTATGTATATATATGTCAGAAACTACCCAAAGTCAACAAAGGTTATTAAAAGACAAAACTATTTGTCTGGCCTCAAGAAAACAATGAGGAACATTTGGTATCTCTTATCCATATATTTCGTACATAACTTGCATATAACTGCCGACGATGATTATAAGTTACTTATCTACCTGAGGTATCTAGTTGGCTGCAATGCCAAGTAGCTTAATAAGATTTGAGTAGGTAGCATGTATAAGGGTGCTTAACTGACATTACATGTATATCATTAATACTAATTTGTTATAATTTGTTATTGTGTGTTAATGTACTTTCCGTATCAATTTGTAACAAGCTGTATACAACCTTGTAACACATGTATAAAAGGCTATAATTATATACACAAAGAAAACACCCAGTGCATTGTATATGTATTTCTATAAATACATAATAAGTCATAAAAACACCAAGTGCATTGTATATGTACATGTATTTCTATAAATACATAATACATCATTTCTCTTGACCATTCATTAGACATGGCTTTGAACATAAGCGACAATATTCGCCAGTATGGTCTAAGGCAGATCATTTCAATTCTTTATAATTCGAATGCAACACTTATTTTTAGGTCTCATCCAACAATCTTAAAGGGTATAAAGCTATATCTTTTGATGTTTTTTTTTTAATTTAACAGTCGGATTGTAAAGCTTCCATAATGTTACGGTCGATTCTCAAAACAGTTGTATAACAAAGAATATGAATATTGTACATAAACAGCTTAAAATGTTCCAGAACAAAATATCCTGCTGTATTAAGTAGGGTTTTATCTGTTTAGCAATGATTTCGTACATACACCAATGGCTTTTAAGGCAATTTACCATATTTACTTCATACATGCATTTTGGAAGTATTCTTTTTTTAAATTCAAACAATGATTTTGCAACAACTATAATTTGTTATGAATTTGATCATAGTTTTGTAATGTTTGAATAGAACTGATCTACTCAGTATTTTACTCAACAAAAGCGCCAAGCAACTAATACATTTAGCTTTTATATAAACACAAACTGTTTGAAATGATACATTTTCACTTTTTGCTAATTTTCTGGTAATTCATGAGAGAAAAAAAAATCAGATGACTAAGTTATACAGGGTAATCCAGTAATAATGTTAGGGAAGACGTCATATATATGTTATTGTGGTATTTACAGGTAGGCATTATCAAACACTGTAAATTATGTAATGATGTTGATGATACTTCACGCAGAGTGTTTTACAGTATATTATTATATATATACTGAGCACAGCTTTGAGTTGTTCTTTTTTGCCAGAAAATTTGCTGTTTTAATATTGTATTCTGTGTTTGCTGTTTTTGTGCTTTTTGTGCTTATTGTTAGTATAAGTCACTTGTATTTTGCCGTTTTATAACTAATATCTTGTTCTTTTGTCCCGTGCAGATTACTAGCGTTCGTTCAAAGTAAGTACACGTGCTTATGATAACCAATATATGCTATCCGTGCTATTTATACCACAAGTTTATTAGCCCTGATTGTTGCCCATGTTTATTGTAATACACCAAAGTTATCACCACTTGCAACAAATATTCTTCTTACTTTTGTTTATTATAACTTACTATATTTATATTTACCTGCGTTACTTATTATAAATATTATAGCATGTTCCTACGATTATTGTATCTTAAATTGACGTTACCATGGTTTTAATGAGATGGCATGCTTATCGAACGTTATTCTAATAATAAATTATTATCCAGATTGTTTAATATTATATGCTAATTATTAATTTGGTTGCACGACGCCGTGTTCTTCAAATGATTGATGATTTTAGTTGTTGCATGCTGGTTTTAAATCGCCAAGCAGATAATACTTTTTGAATGTTATACTGAATGTACAGTGCTATGCTTATTATAAAATGCTACACAAACTATACACATAAATTACCATTCCCATTATACGTTCACATGCTTATTATAAATTGTCATTCAAATTATAAACTCATAATTTAATCACAAATTTAAACGTATAAACATGCTAATCATAAATTGCAATGTCGATAATAAATTCGCATACTCATCATAAATTGTCAAGAATGACTTGTAATGGATTGTCATGCGGGTAAAAACGTCCATTTGCTTGTAATAGATTGTCATGCGGATTATACGCTCACTTGCTTGTAATTTATTGCCATGCGGGTTATATGTCCACGTGCTTGTAATTTATTGTCATGCGGGTCATACGTCCACTTGCTTGTAATAGATTGTCATGCGGATTATACGTTCACTTGCTTGTAATTTATTGCCATGCGGTGTAATATGTCCACGTGCTTGTAATTTATTGTCATGCGGGTCATACGTCCACTTGCTTGTAATAAATTGTCATGCGGGTTATACACTCACTTGCTTGTAAATAAATTGTCATGGAGGTTATACGTCCACGTTCTTCTAATTAATTGTAAGTAGAGGTTATTACATCGGGCAAGTGTGCCTTTAGTCCATATTGGCACACTTGGTGACTTATTTGCCCGAGGGTTTCAGCCCAAGGCTCATTTGCCCCATGAAATGACCTGTTTATTGCATATGTTCCCTTGCAATTGTTCATACTTTCCAAAAAAAAGCATAAGTTATAAGCTGGCTATCCTTGTTGTTCGATTAGATTATCTAAATCCATCAAGCGATTCGCCAAAGATTTCAACGTCTTCTCGACGGCCATTTTTTGCGATGCGGTTGTCAATTACGTAACGTGTATACGCGCGGACGTTCTACCGTTACTGGACAACAGGTGCGTGATCACGGAAATAGCCTTAATATGGGATTTTGGCAAACTTGGCAAGCGCGCCCATATGGCTTATTGGCACACTTGCTCAAATACGGTATTTTCGCATGTCATATTCAGAAAAAAGAAACGCATTTTTATTACTTATTATAGTAACATATGCGGGGCGTCCGTGGCCGAGTGGTTAAGGTCGTTGACTTCAAACCACTTGCCCCTCACCGCTGTGGGTTCGAGTCCCGACAGGGACTTTGGATTCTTTCATGTGAGGAAGCTATCCAGCTAGCTTACGGAACGTCGGTGGTTCTACTCAGGTGCCCGTTCGTGCCTGAAATAATGCACGGAAGGGCACCTGAGGTCTTCCTCCACCAGTAAAGCTGGAACGTCGCGATATGACCTATACTGTGTCGATGTGACGTAAAACCCAAAACAAAAACAAAAACAAAAAAAAAGTAACATATGCAGTAATGCGGATTATACGCTCACTTGCTTGTAATAAATTGTCATGCGGATTTAACACTCTCTTGCTTGTAATTTATTGTCATGCGGGTTATATATTAACTTGCTTGTAATAAATTGTCATTCGAATTGTAGTCTCACTTGCTTGTAATAAATTGTATTGCACGTTATACGTCCACTTGCTTTTAATAAATTGTCCAGCGGGTTAAACGTCCACGTGCTTGTAATAAATTGTCATGCGGATTATACGCTCAATTGCTTGTATTTAATCGTTATGCGGGTTTTACGTCCACTTGATTGTAATAAATTGTCATGCGAATTATATGCTCACTTGCTTGTAATAAATTGGCATGTGGGCTATACGTCCACTTGCTTGTAAAAACTTGTCATGCGGGTTATACGCTCACTTGCTTGAAATAAATTTCCATGCGAAGTAAACGTCCACATGCTTGTAATTAATTGTCATGCGGATTTAACACTCTCTTGCTTGTAATTTATTGTCATGCGGGTTATATGTTAACTTGCTTGTAATAATTGTCATTTGAATTGTAGTCTCACTTGCTTGTAATAAATTGTATTGCACGTTATACGTCCACTTGCTTGTAAAAACTTCTCATGCGGGTTATACGCTCACTTGCTTGAAATAAATTTCCATGCGAATTAAACGTCCACATGCTTGTAATTAATTGTCTTGCGGATTATACGTCCCCTTGCTTGAATTAAATTGCCATGCGACTTATACGCCCCCAATGTTCACTTGTTGGCAGATTTCATACGATGAAATGCTGGAATAATTATGAAACATGCTAAACATAATTCCTACTCTTATTGTATTTTCAAACGTTTGGCGTTAATGACAATACAGATTGCACGTTTCATATGAATATCATATATCATATTATCCTAAATGACCATATAGATTTATGTTCCTGTTATTATCATAATCTATCTTTTTTCCCGTAGCAATTGGTAATTTAGCAATTGGTAATTACTGGTTAATTTTGGATATTACAGGTAAGTTATCAAGGTAGACTGACCGCCGAGTTATGACCAAAATTAAAGTTGGCGTAAAAACTATATATCATAAACAATGCCATCATGAATTTACAAGTTTGGTTTAATTTTATTTAGGCATGCTCAAGCTTACTCTTTCACATTCTTTTTTAGTTTCATCTTACAATTCATGTATTCGTGTAATTAGGGATAAGGGATCTTAAACTGAAACATTTTAAGCACAAAGTGACCGATACCACTTGGCATTATTCAGTGAAAAATGATATACTTCGAATAAAATAACAGCTAACATGTATTGAACCTACTAAAATCTGGTATCTGAAATCTGAAGTTAATATTCACACACAGTGACATAGTGCAATCATTGAAAGATAAAAATTGGTACTTTTGCAAACTCATGATCGGTAATTAGTTGAAACCACATTGAATTTTGTTACTATAATATATAGTAATATGTGTATTAAAACATTGGATGCTTTCAGAGTATTCCCAGTGGTACAAATAATAAAATACCATTGGTAACGTTAATATTAATAACCATTGGTTACGTTAATTAACATTGGTACCACATGTTGACAGTTTACTTTGAACGGACTTTATAATTGGCAATAAAATAAACAGTTTTAAACAAGTTTTTATTGTTATTTGTATTGTTATAAATAAATTTCATCTAAAAATAACTGTGTGTATTTGCAAATCATATTTTAAATGTTCAATAATTATTCAGCCTAATATGTTGAACTATATTTCATTCAACAATGACAAACAGATCGCGGCGTTATAAGTAAGACCACTACCATAGCACTAGTCTGTCTGCAAATTAATCTACTAATGGCAAATTTCGTCCGTAAACTTTTGTACCATTTCTATGCCAATGGTGAATAAACCTACCAGCGTTACCAATGGATTTACTCTGCCGAGCAGAGTCTAAAATGAGTTTGCAGCATTGTACGAGTCCATTAGAATCTGTCTTGTACTCAACATTTAATAATGACATCTTTATTTTGACAGGACATTGTCGAATACAATAAGGATTAATTTTACTCTGAAAACGAGTGAGTACAATACATGTATTGATAAAATACGATTTTTAAAACTCGGAAAATTAAAAAGAAAAAAAAATGGAATACATTAGTGTGGAAAAATGAAAACAAGGCAAAATTGATAAGATTGGTTATATTAGGTGATCACATGACGCAAATGCTAAAAGTCCATTGGTTACACTTTATAAGGTTTAAATAAGAGTTATGTAATTTCATTGGTTTTATATCCAGAAATGAAAAATGTATTTTTAATAACAAAATTGATGATTCATAAGAACTGTGTGGAAATAAAATAACTGTTACTGTTTATTACTATCTATTATTTACAGAATTATTCGTAATATATCAAGCTCTTTATCACTCGTGTCCTGGCCGAACTTTTCAAGATATATTATTATTCTTTGAAACTAGATACATTTATTTGATATTGTTGTATGTAGATATGAAAGAAAACATCAGTTCCTAAGTAAACACAATTCATACTTTCGCTATCTATTGTAATCAGGTATTTGTTGTGCTCTTATCATTTCTTGTATATATTCTTTATCAATCATCTATACGGAACGCTTCGGATCAGATGCTGGCTAAAGATAAATGCACTCTCTTGATTGTTTTACCATAAACGAATTTATAAAAAAAAGATCAGATTGAAAGTGTTTGTGTAATATAGTTTGAGACTGGAAATGTTTGATCGTATCTTACTAATATAGCTGTGTTGTAATGCTATTGCATGTTGTAAGCATGCAAAAGCACTGTATTACTTTTCATCTGTATTTTAGCACGAGCATAAAGGATTTTAGGTAATTTAAATTTGAATGTTATTATTTCAGAGTCATATGATCCGTCAACTGGCACAAGTCATAGTGAGTGGCATCAACAGCAGACCTCTACCCAAACTTCTACCCAGTCTTTCACGCCAGAAACTCCGCCGTCCAGACAGTCTGACCAATATGGCAATTATAATCGTCTGATTAAAGCCTTCCCCGAACAGGAGAAACCTGAAAGGAAACCCGTGGAGCAAGGGGATTATAACCGTAGGATTAGGGCGTGGCCAGAGCAACAGGACACTCCTCCCGAGAGAACCGTCGAGTTTGGTGACTATAATCGTAAAATAAAGGCGTGGCCAGAGTCTGGACAATCAACTTTACCGAAACAATCCTCTCAGCAGACGAACATTAGTGTTCAGTCCAGTTACTATAGTCTTCCGCGCGGTTTTAAAGCTGGCGGTTCTAATCCTAAACATGTTGTTCAGCAACGTCATCAGCAAATACGACAAGTTTATAATCAACAAGAACAGTTGCCTGGGTGTGATTTATGACATGTGTAGCTGTAATGTTTAGCTGGACGTATGGTTACATGTTTTCACTTTTATATAACAAAATTAATCTCAAAACCAATTTTCTTTTAAATAAGACGTGCTTCTGAAACGTCCGGGTAATGACCTATTTTATCGACAATGCTCAGTCATTATTTCTGAAAATCGGTGAACAAAGAAATATTGTAACAATAATATTGGAGGTTTGAAAGTAAAAAGCTTTTCCCATGAATTTTCCTCATCGCAGTATATCAGAAACTCCGCGACACGTTCTCCTACATTCCACACACAACTTAGAATTCTCGACGTAGCGAAAACGTGATAGCAGTTCGTACCTGGAAAATATATCACCTGATCTTCTGTCGAGCTAGTGCAGCTCTGTTTGCCAAGGACATTGTGTAGGTGTTTTTTTCCTTTGTATCTTACCGTACTCATCCATTTAACAGCACCTACTATTGTTTGCGGTATTGTCATGTTTTCTTGCGAGAAAACGAAATGATTTAAGATTTTCTTATGGTGAGAAATGGAGTTAGTTAACTTATTTTATGTTAGTTAGCAAAGTCATCTTTTTGAATCTGTTGAGACTTGTAAAAACCAAAATTGGGGCAAACACATCAAGATTTTTATAGCCATTACTTATGTAAGGGAAATAAAAATTTTAAAGTAGGCGGTAGGTGAAACACATTTATGGGTTTATAGTAAAATCTCGGTGTATAACTTTCTATTGGATGAATTTTAAAAATTATCACCTTGCAATCTAGTCTCTATCGGACACATTGTGACGTAGGAACTTTTTGAATATAAAATGTATATAAAATTCGAACATTCAATAACATTTACAATTCCTTAGCCACCCTTTGTGTTTAATACGTTATAGTGTTATTTTTTTGTTAGAAATTATTTTTGGGTTCTTTGTGAAGGTATTGTTTTGAAGTTTTTTTATTATTATTTTAAATGTTTTGACGATTATATTTATAGCAGGATATTTAAGGGAATGTAATTTTATTCATTATTTTCATTAATAATATGTGTAAGTAAGGTAGGGGGATTGCTTGTCGTGTAAAGTGAAAATGTACATGTTAACCTGTTGACCTGGCGATATGTGGACAATATGACAATTTCTCCCTGGCCTTGCGATATACAAAGTCTAAGCACGAGTTTCAGATTTGTGTTTCAATCACTCGTGTTGTCGTCTGTCCCATGTTTTCGAATATTTCGGATGAACCGATGATGGGTTACGATTCACGTTGCTTGTTTGTTCTTGTTTTAAACTTGTAACGCTGATTGGTCGATAGATCAGACGCTGACCTAGTTTGGACGTTTTTATAAGCGGGAAGCTGATTGGTCGAAAGACTAGAACGTTTTTAAAAAGTTTTAAAGCTGTTGGGGTCAAATTAAAAATCAAAAAGTTTGACCCTAGTTTAAACGTTTTAAAAAAGTTTAAAAAAAGACTTTTTTTTTTCGTCTATTTGTTGAAAAAACATTGGGGGTTTTTAAAGCTCTTTTTAAAGGAGTGCATCAGATCCCTTTTTTTCGTATAACATTAATTTTTTCTTAAAAAGGTGGTAATTTTAATTTTTCCTTAAAAGTGTAAGCATAAAAGTTGTATATTTTATGTAAAAAATTTTAAATTTATTTAAATTTCTTTTTTCTTTTTTTCTCTTTTGAAAAATTTAAAAATTTCCCCAAAAAATACCATAGTCTTCCACGTGCTATATTTATGTTATTTATATGTAATGATATTTATACACGTGTTAATTTAATAAAGGATTGTTAATTAAGTGCAATAATCACGTATATGTAGGGTGTGGTGAAAATAAAGATTGAAAATGCTGTACTGAATGAGGCAATTTTGATCAACCAGTTTTCATTAAATAAAGGTAAAAAAAACAGTATTGCTTGTTCTTTTTTTAACAGCTTCAGAGATTTATAATTCCAAAATGACTTTGTACCACAGTTTGCAACAAGTCTTCAAAAAGCATTTTCTTACAGAATGTAAATAAAAAATGTACGTTAATTAGTCCAGTGTGCTGACCTCTGCTGACTCAACCAACATGGTTTCTAAAAGTAATAATAATAAAAAAATATATGTATAGTAAAATAAAGACTCGAAACTTATCAACCATTTCCGTCATACCTCCGGCAAACAGGTATGTGAAGTTGGCTTGTACATTGTACATCGTAGTTCAGCTAGTAATTCGCCAATATTTGAATTTACTAGCTAGTAGATGGGTATTCAGCGTGTAGTTCGAAAACAAACAAACTAACATACATAATATTTGAATTACTAGCTAGTAGATGGGTATTCAGCGTGTAGATCGAAACAAAACAAACTAACATACATAATATTTGAATTACTAGCTAGTAGTTGGGTATTCAGCGTGTAGTTCGGACCAAACACATCGCCAGCATACACAATATTTGAATTACTAGTTAGTAGATCGGTATTCAGCGTGTAGTTCGGAACAAATACACCAGCATACACAATATTTGAATTACTAGCTAGTAGATCGGTATTTCAGCGTGTAGTTCGGACCAGACACACTAACATACATAATATTTGAATTACTAGCTAGTAGATGGGTATTCAGCGTGTAGTTCATACCAAATACACCGGCCATACACAATATTTGAATTACTAGCTAGTAGATCGTATTCAGCGTGTAGTTCGGACCAGTCACATACTAACATACATAATATTTGAATTACTAGCTAGTAGATGGGTATTCAGCGTGTAGTTCGAAACAAACAAACTAACATATACACAATATTTGAATTACTAGCTAGTAGATGGGTATTCAGCGTGTAGTTCGGAACAAACCCACTAGCATACACAATACTTGAATTACTAGCTAGTAGATCGGTATTCAGCGTGTAGTTCGAAACAAACAAACTAACATACATAATATTTGAATTACTAGCTAGTAGATGGGTATTCAGCGTGTAGTTCATACCAATACACCGGCATACACAATATTTGAATTACTAGCTAGTAGATCGGTATTCAGCGTGTAGTTCGGAACAAACCCACTAGCATACACAATATTTGAATTACTAGCTAGTAGATCGGTATTCAGCGTGTAGTTCGAAACAAACAAACTAACATATATAAAATTTGGATTACTAGCTAGTAGTCGGGTATTCAGCGTGTAGTTTGGACCAAAAATACCAGCATACACAATATTTGAATTACTAGCTAGTAGATCGGTATTCAGCGTGTAGTTCATAACAAATACACCAGCATACACAATATTTGAATTACTAGCTAGTAGATCGGTATTCAGCGTGTAGTTCGGACCAGACACACTAACATACATAATATTTGAAGTACTAGCTAGTAGATGGGTATTCAGCGTGTAGTTTCGGAACAAATACACCAGCATACACAATATTTGAATTACTAGCTAGTAGATCGGTATTCAGCGTGTAGTTCGGACCAGACACACTAACATACATAATATTTGAATTACTAGCTAGTAGATGGGTTATTCAGCGTGTAGTTCATACCAAATACACCGGCATACACAATATTTGAATTACTAGCTAGTAGATCGGTATTCAGCGTGTAGTTCGGACCAGTCACACTAACATACATAATATTTGAATTACTAGCTAGTAGATGGGTATTCAGCGTGTAGTTCGAAACAAACAAACTAACATACATAATATTTGAATTACTAGCTAGTAGATGGGTATTCAGCGTGTAGATCGAAACAAACAAACTAACAATACATAATATTTGAATTACTAGCTAGTAGTTGGGTATTCAGCGTGTAGTTCGGACCAAACACACCAGCATACACAATATTTGAATTACTAGTTAGTAGATCGGTATTCAGCGTGTAGTTCGGAACAAAAATACACCAGCATACACAATATTTGAATTTACTAGCTAGTAGATCGGTATTCAGCGTGTAGTTCGGACCAGACACACTAACATACATAATATTTGAATTACTAGCTAGTAGATGGGTATTCAGCGTGTAGTTCATACCAAATACACCGGCATACACAATATTTGAATTACTAGCTAGTAGATCGGTATTCAGCGTGTAGTTCGGACCAGTCACACTAACATACATAATATTTGAATTACTAGCTAGTAGATGGGTATTCAGCGTGTAGTTCGAAACAAACAAACTAACATACACAATATTTGAATTACTAGCTAGTAGATGGGTATTCAGCGTGTAGTTCGGAACAAACCCACTAGCATACACAATACTTGAATTACTAGCTAGTAGATCGGTATTCAGCGTGTAGTTCGAAACAAACAAACTAACATACATAATATTTGAATTACTAGCTAGTAGATGGGTATTCAGCGTGTAGTTCATACCAAATACACCGGCATACACAATATTTGAATTACTAGCTAGTAGATCGGTATTCAGCGTGTAGTTCGGAACAAACCCACTAGCATACACAATATTTGAATTACTAGCTAGTAGATCGGTATTCAGCGTGTAGTTCGAAACAAACAAACTAACATATATAATATTTGGATTACTAGCTAGTAGTCGGGTATTCAGCGTGTAGTTTGGACCAAAAATACCAGCATACACAATATTTGAATTACTAGCTAGTAGATCGGTATTCAGCGTGTAGTTCATTAACAAATACACCAGCATACACAATATTTGAATTACTAGCTAGTAGATCGGTATTCAGCGTGTAGTTCGGACCAGACACACTAACATACATAATATTTGAAGTACTAGCTAGTAGATGGGTATTCAGCGTGTAGTTCGGAACAAATACACCAGCATACAATATTTGAATTACTAGCTAGTAGATCGGTATTCAGCGTGTAGTTCGGACCAGACACACTAACATACATAATATTTGAATTACTAGCTAGTAGATGGGTATTTCAGCGTGTAGTTCATACCAAATACACCGGCATACACAATATTTGAATTACTAGCTAGTAGATCGGTATTCAGCGTGTAGTTCGGACCAGTCACACTAACATACATAATATTTGAATTACTAGCTAGTAGATGGGTATTCAGCGTGTAGTTCGAAACAAACAAACTAACATACACAATATTTGAATTACTAGCTAGTAGATGGGTATTCAGCGTGTAGTTCGAACAAACCCACTAGCATACACAATACTTGAATTTACTAGCTAGTAGATCGGTATTCAGCGTGTAGTTCGAAACAAACAAACTAACATACATAATATTTGAATTACTAGCTAGTAGATGGGTATTCAGCGTGTAGTTCATACCAAATACACCGGCATACACAATATTTGAATTACTAGCTAGTAGATCGGTATTCAGCGTGTAGTTCGGACCAGTCACACTAACATACATAATATTTGAATTACTAGCTAGTAGATGGGTATTCAGCGTGTAGTTCGGAACAAACCCACTAGCATACACAATATTTGAATTACTAGCTAGTAGATCGGTATTCAGCGTGTAGTTCGAAACAAACAAACTAACATACACAATATTTGAATTACTAGCTAG